GGAGTAAAAACAGAGGAGGAGGGAGGAGGAGGGAAGAGGAGGAGGAGGAGGAGGAGGAGGAGGAAGAACTGGAGGAGGAGGCGGAGGAGGAGGAGGAGGAGGACCGAAACAGCGCCCTGCCCTCCGCGCGGGGGCGTCGCTGCCCCAGGGGCGCCAGCGGCCTCTCTCCCTGGCCCCCTCCGCGACCGCGGCGCAGCGATGTCTGGCACCGATCTGTCGAGACGGTGCGGCTCGCTCCTCCTCCTCCTCCTCCTCCTCCTCCTCTCCTCTCCTCCTCCTCCTCCTCCTCCTCCTCCTCCTCCTCCTCCTCCTCCCTCCTCCTGCCTCCTCCTTCTCCTCCTCCCCCTCCTCCTCCTTCTCCTCCTCTTCCTCCTCCCCTCCTCCTCCTCCTCCTCCTCCTCCTCCTCCTCCTCCTCCTCCTCCTCCTCCTCCTCCTCCTCCTCCTCCTCCTCCTCCTCCTCCCCCCCTCCTCCTCCTCCTCTTCGTCCTTCTCTTCCCCCTCCTTCCTCCTCCCTCCTCCCTCGTCCCTCCTCCGCGACCGCGCGCAGCCAGCCTCAGTTTAGGGGGCGAACCGTCAGGGGCGGCCTAACCGACCCCTAGCAAACCATCCCCTTCCGTGACGTGCTCCTCGCCTCGCCCCAGGGAGGAATGCATGCGGCCGGAGGGGAGCTCGAAAGGCGAGAATGACGTCACGGAAGGGGGATGGTTTGCTAGGGGTCGGTTAGGCTGCGCCCGAAACAGTGACATGAACAGGAGAACTCGGAGGTCCGCGCGGACTTCTCGGATCGGCGCTGGGGCCCCCTGGCGGCGCCTCTGGCGCCGCCCCCTAGAGCGCTCCGCGCGTCATTCTTTTTTGTATATATATATACATACAAATATACATGCATCTATATATATACATATATATACACACATAGGTTTTGTGCTATTCTTGTGATTTTCTGAGTCTGGTTCGACTATGATTTACTGTTCGTCCAAAATGCGTCCGTAGGATGACATGCCCGACCTAAGACTAAGCCCGATTGGGACCCTGGTGGCTGGGAGGCGCGACCGGCAGTACACGGCAGTCGTTCAAAGTAGTATTTCTGCACACCCAGACCCCAACTTACTTCAAGCGCCTTCCCTATCCAAGAATCGATATACTTTTGCTGCGTTTTTTTTTTTCTGGGGGGGGGATCTGAGCCACATATGTTTTTTGTGTGCTATCCGCTCCCGGTCTTCACGTTCTGACCTGCTTCTTCCGACCGACGTGCACCTGCCGAACGCTGCAGCAACAATGTTGCCGCCGGCGTCTCGCTTCGAAGTCGCGAAAGCGGTACGGCGAGCGGTCCTCGCTGGTCTCTCCCTGGCCTGCCCTTGCCCTGCCCCGCGGGCCAATGCGGCGAGGCGCCGCCCGTCCTGCTCGCCCGGCAGCCCACCCCCCCCGCCCCCCACCGCGCCGGAGGCGGAGCGCGAGCTGCGACGGCGCGAGCGCCTCGAGAAGGAGCTGGACGACCTGAAGAAGTCGCAGGAGGCCCATCCCAGACTTCGAGGAAGGAGTTATTAGGGTCCTCCTCCTCCTCCTCCTCCTCTTCCCCGTCCTCCCCTCCTCCTCCTCCTCCTGCTCCTCCTCCTCCTCCTCCTCCTCCTCCTCCTGGGGAGGGGTTTCCCTTTGACTCGATTGCGACCTCGATCGGTTCATCTCGGGCTGGCGAGTTCGGTTTGGGAGCCCCAGGTTCGGGGGTGGACAGAACCCCCAACAGTGACACGTCGATAAGTGAATTGTCCGTTTTCGGCTTTCGAGAGGGCGCCGTGGCCGTTGTTTTCCAGGCTTGCGCCCGCCAGGTTTGGGCCTCGGGTCGTTCTCACCAAACCACGTTTTACTAAAGGGGTGTCTGTCCATCCACGATATGGGAACGAATAATGACGTAAGCACAACAACTCGGAGGTCCGCGCGGAGTTCTTGGATCCGCGCTGGACCCCCTTGGCGGCGCCTCTGGCGCCGCCCCAGGGAGGGGGGTCCACTGCCGATCCGAGAATTCCGCGCGGACCTCTGAGTTTTTATGCTCATGTCATTCTTCGTTCCCATATTCGAGGAAGGAGTCGTTCTGCTTCGAGCGATCCCCACCCAAGAGCGCGAGCCGGGATACCCAGCTCCCGAGCGAAGTGAACCCCACCTTCCCCATCAGAAATCGTGGGGGGTAGAGGTACCACTCACATCATGACATCATTCTCGTCCTGATAGCGTCGATCGCCCACCTCCGCCATCCTTCCTCTCGCCCTCCCCGGCCTGCGCGCTTCCTCTTCGTGTACCCTTCGGCGCTGCTGCCCCGAAAAGGCGCGCGGAGCTCCCGACGCTCAGAGGCTGCACCTTGGCATTCATTCCCCTGAGTGGGGCTTTTCGGGCGGGGCCAGCACAGGGGTAAATTTAGGTCGGGCATGTCCCTCTATAGCAGGAATGTCCAAAAATGATCCAAACATAGTCAGGGGATGATTTTTCCGACGTTTCTTGAGCATTTTTGACTATGTTTCATTTTTCTTGCAAAATCAGCGCCACCTTGGGGTCCTCTTCGGCCGCTCTTGGGTCATCTTGGCGCCTTCTTGGGCAGTCTTTAGGCCCTCTCGGTGCCCTCCTGGGCCGTTTTGAAACCATCTTGGAGGCTTCTGGGCTTGCCTCGAGCCGACGAAAGCTCGCAATGGCAAGCATTTGCGGATAATCAATGATTTCAGCCTCTTCGGGCTTGGCTGGAGGTTCTATTGGAGCCCTCTTAGACTGGCGCCTCGAGGCCATCTTGAGCCATCTTAGGCCAGCATGGGGGCCTTTGGATCCATCTTGGCGGCCGTGGTGGCCTGCCAGGGAGGCGTCTTGGCCGCCCAGGGAGCCTTAGGAGTGCAGCCAAGGCGCTGAACTAAGGACCGCCTTGAATTCGGGAGGGGCTCGCTGTTCCTTAGGCCATTACGTGGTTGTTCCTGCAGCCCTCCTCGTGCATTCAGGCTCGTATGGTGCCAAAAGAGGGCGTCGTTCCTTCTTTAGCGTTCCTCACTCCAGCAGTCCGACTAGGGTTGTTGCACGCAGCTGGGCGCGGCGAGAGGAGGGCGGTCCATCGGAAGACTGCAGAAACCATGCCAGACAACACTCGGTATTCTTCCACGCCTCAGAGTGCGAAGGCACGGTGGCGGATCTACCACAGGGCTTGCGAAGCTGATCAGGAGTTGCACAGCGGAGACCCATGCCAAGAAACACCCTGGTTGCCTCCAGGGTGCCAGGGGGGTTCTTGGGCTCCGATGGTTTTGCTATGGAGAGCTCGACGTTCCCACACCCAAGGTCGATGGACGCCCTGGGGTTCCAGGGTTGGGTCTCTTGTAGGACGTCTCTTGAGGACTGGCCTCCACTGTACACCGCAGGGGTCGTCAGCAAGACGCCCTGAGCTGCCAGATGCCCGTGGGTGAGTCCCCAGCTCGCTAGGGGGACCTTGCCTCTAGCGTTCGCGCTCATGGCAGAAGAGGCCAGGTACATGCAATTCGGGGGGAAGTCTGTGGGCTCCGCTCGTGTTCCCCTTTGTTTCCTAGGTGGGCCTCCGTGCTCCCTTCCTTGAATGCTGTTCGTAGGGAGGCCGTGCCATCTTGGAAGGTGGCGCTGCCCAACATCTGCAGACGACCCGCACAGCAAGGATGAGCGACTTTCCCGAGGGTGCCCTTGGCATCCTCACCTCCTTGGCCCATCCTTGGCCACTCGTTGGCCGCACCCCGCTCGAGAAGCTTTGACATGGGCGTCCACGACCCTGGCATCCTTATCGCGCACCCCTTCTGATGCGGGCCGGCTTTAATCAGACCCGCTGTGAACTCCGAGCGTATGCCATCTCATGTCTGCTGAAGTGTCGGGAGTCGCGGTTCTCAGAGCAGAGCGCGCGGGAAGTCGGGTACCCGGAGTCGAGGAAGAGAAAACGGCATAAGCGTAAACATTTGGCGTTCCGGGCGGATTTCTTGGATCCGCCCTCACTGGCGAGCTCCGCGCGTCAGTGAGGGGATTCTGGAATGTTGCTTCCTGCAGTCCTCGATTGCAGTGAGAATCAATCAATAATCCAGACTCTGCCACTCTGACCTCGGGCTGGACCTCGCTCCGAACCCTGGTGGATTTCAGTATCACGGAATCTCAGACTCATGGGTACCATTTTCCCTTCTTTCTCCTGGGGATCTCCCACCGCGATCAATGTCCCGGGTTTGCCCGCCTCGATGTGTTTATAAGCCATGCCTTTTTCGAGGAAGAGGGAACAGATCGGAGATTGCACTAACTCGTCATCGTTTTCTTATTCATTGTTTTGCCGATCGGCGCGGGCCCTCGCCGCCCCCCTCCTCCCGGTGGAGCAGATCTTGGCTGTTTTGGGTGCCTGTTTCATGCATGTGGACGGCTCCCCATAGGATTCCCCATGGGAGCAGCGCTCCCAGCAGTCGCACTCAGCAGAGGTTGGGACCCAGTCCCCCCCCCTCCACCCCGCCTTCCGCTCAATGCCGAAACGCCGAACAAGAAAAGTTCATGTCGTCCCCTGAGGTGAAGTAAAGTAAAGGAGGATCAAACACCGGTGGTCGGAAGGGAGGTCTTCTCCCTCCTCGGCCTCCCGAAACCCGGCCGGTGCAGGGGCCTCCAGTTTTTGTCCCCACTGGTCTGGCACCTCCCCCCGGGTGCAGTGACCTTCCCAGCAGGTCCGTTTCCGTGGGCATCTTGGAGTCCCGTCCCTCCTGCGGCGCCCTGCTTCCTCCCCCCTTCCCCCTCCCCCCCCCGCCTCTTCTTGACGAAGCCGGCAGGTCGCTTTTTGTTGGTTCTCCCCCCTCCGACGTGACGGGGAAGTGCTGCGGGGTGTGGCAGACGCGTTCCGACAGGAAGAGGACGAGCAGCCACTCGTCGCTGCTCGAGACGACTCAAACGGTGATGAGTCGGAGTGAGGGTCCTGGGCCCAAGCTGGCTCGGTCGACGGTTACCCCAACAAACCCCCCCGCCTCTTCTTATTATACCTCCCTCCTCGCCCCTGCTCCTCCCTCGTCGCCCTCCCCCCTCGCTCCTCCCCCATCGACGACGACACGCCGCTCCTGGCCATGTCCAGCTCGGCCCTGGAGCGGTGTAGATTACGCGTCCGCGGCCAGGCCAGCAATCCTGAGCCCAGCGGTCATACTGCCGCCGGGACCATACCGCTCGAGCGCTGCCCCCAGGATTAAGTCGGGCATGCCCACCTACAGGACGAACAGTCATATCAAAGTCAAAACATAGTATGGGGACGATTGTTTGAGTATGTTTGAGCCCAGCGGTTACTCTCCCGCCCGGCCCACACCAGCCCAAGCGTTGCCCCCAGGATTAGGATGTTTCCATCTGCGTTTAGGTCGGGCATGTCCCTCTACAGGAGGAATGCTTAAAACAGTAGTCAACAAATCGTACAGGGACTATTGTTTAAACATATGTTTGACTATGTTGGTGTAGTTCTGCGACTATTTCTTATTGTTCGTTTAAAACCCGCCTACATGAGGACATGCCCGATCTAAACCTACTTCAGCCCTGATCGCCAGAAAGAATTTCGAGCACCAGGGAAGTACCGAAATTGGAGCGTTTTCACGTGTTGGGCCCTGGGAGGCGATACTCGTTCGACACTGTTTCGACACTCTCCTGGGTGCTCCAAAATGTTTCGGGGATGTGGTCCTTGAGTACGATGGGAGCAGCATAAGCCCAGGACCCCGACCCCTCCCCGGGCCCATCCCGAGCCGCTTCTCGAGGCGGATCCAGCCGCGGCGGCTGGGGCAGGGCTGGACCTGAACGTTGTTTTGCTGGGCTTCGGCTGTGGTTTGTTGTTCGTTCCGGCAGGAAGGTGCAGGAACGAACAACAAACCACCGAACACACAACGACAAACAAACCACAGGTTTGTGGTTTGTGGTTCGTTTGTGGTCTGTTCGTTCTGGCAGGCAGGGCAAAACGAACACACAACGAAACACAAGGTTTGGATCCAGCCGCGGCGGCCTGAAGACTCCAGGAGGCCCATGCAGGCACAGCGGGCGCCCCGCAGGATGGCCGCCGCTGTCCCGACGGTCCCTCCTCCTCCTCCTCCTCCTCCTCCTCCCTCCTCCTCCTCGTCCTCCTCCTCCTCCTCCTCCTCCTCCTCCCCCTCCTCCTTCTCCCTCCTCCTCCCCCTCCTCCGTGAGCACGGCGCGGCGTGCGAGTGCTGGCGAGGCAGAGGGCACGGGCCCCCTTCGGCATGCGCGGAGGCAGCGGGAAGGCGATGCAGCATGATGCGGTGCAGGTCCATGCCAAGAGACACCCTGCAGAACGTATCGGGCACCGAGGCCTTCTCAGAGCGTTCTGGAACGCTCTGAAAGCGTTCTGGAACGTTCTGGAACGAATGCATCCTCGTCCGGGCCCCGTCCTGAGGGAGTGAGGGAGGCAGGGAGGCTCGAGCAGGAGCACGAGCCTCAGCAGGAGTACAGTGGAGACCCATGCCAAGAAACACCCTGCTTGCCTCCAGGGTGCCCTGAGCTTCCTTGGGTTTCGATGGTTTTGCCGTGGAAGGCGTGGCGTTCCCACACCAAAAATCCGATGGGCGTCCCGGGGTCTCAGGGTTGGGTTTCTAGTTGTCGGGCCCCTGCTTCGCGCCCCTCCCCCCGAAGCCCGAAGTGGAAGTGTCCACATGTTGCCCCTGGCCTTTTTGGCCTGCCGCCCAAAGCCGGCAACTTCGAGTTTTGGGGGAAGGGGGTATACGTTTCGCTCCGACGTGCTTCGATCATGCAGGGTCTTGGGGGCCTTGGCGAGACGCGTGTGGACACGTTCAGCCCACCCGTGTCCAGCAGCGAGCGCACGCCCCCCGCCAGGCGCGGGAGGCGATCCTGAAGAAGTGCAAGGCGGACAGCAAGGTCCAGGCGCGAGGGCCCCCCCCCCCCCGCCACACCCCACCCGCAAGCCCTGGCTTGCCGCGAGGATGCGGGGGGAGCGCACTTCCGACTGGCCTCAGGGGCATCGGAAAGACAGAGGATGAAGGGGAAGGGAATCAGGAGGGAAAAAAATCACACAGACACAATTAACCGTCGATCCCCAAGAACATATGGGAACAAATGGGAAGTGGGCGGGAAGACAAAAACCCAGAACATCTGGGAAAATATTTGGAATAGTTTTATTTGCGTGTATTTATTTGTGTGTCCTTGGGCCCCTTGAGGGAAGGAGTGACAGGAACATCAGAGGAGGAAAGGGTACCCACACCGCTACCCTTCCCTCGTGTTTCCCTTTTTTGGGGCCTCCTGGGAGGCTCTCGTCGCCACCGCTGGAGTCGCCTCGGAATCCTAGTCAGAACGCACCCTGGGAGAGTTCGGGGGTCCGGGGAGTAGCGGATATCACTACTTGGGTTTCCCCAGAATTGAGTAGAGGGAGGAGGAGGAACAGGAAGAGGAAGACGGGAGGAACGGGGGAGAGGGGAGGAGGCCTGAAAGAGGAGCGGGAGGAGGGCTCTTCCCGGCTTCCTGTCCTCCATTCCTCCTCATCCTCCTCCCTGGTCCCTCCTTCCCCTCCTTCCAGAGGAGGTGTAGTAGTGTAAGGAGGAGGGAGGGGGAGGAGAAAGGAGGACGATGAAACCGACGACGACAACGATGAGCTCGAGACCTGCCAGCAGCGCCCTGGCACTGGAGCGGACCAGACCCATCTTGGGGCAGTGGTTGGTGTACTTGGCATCGTTCGGACGTGTCGGCGAGGAACATCGATGAGCATCCTGGATCATCTCGCGAAGCCCAGAGCCCCGACGTCATGATTTTTTCATGACGTCGATCCCCAGAGGTCTGGACCGATTCCCCGGGACCGGTTTCTCATCCTGAGTGGTTTTTTGGCGGTCCAGAGGCCCGGATAGGGCCGCCAGAGGCCGAAAGCAGTGAAAAGCCTCGCGTCGTGATTTTTGTCATGACCCGAGGGTGTCTCGGGCCGGGCGAAAGGGGGGGATTGGGAAAGGGGGGGTTACGAAATTTGCTGCATGCAGCTGGTTTCGGCCTCACCGAGGGGCCCATTCCTCGATACATGGGCGCCTCCCGGCGCCGGGAGGCGCCGGGAAAATCAGCTACGTGAGCTGATTCTCAAACCCCCTTTGCTATCCCCCCCTTTCGCCCGACCCGAGTGTCTGGGAACATACGAACACGCACGAAGCCGAACAAAAATCCACGGGGGAGTGGACGTTCGAGCGCTGGCGAGTGTACAGACCCCCTCGGCCGAGGGGGGTAACCAGGCGCGGAGCAGGGCAGGCGGCACCGGCACCACGGCCCCGGCACCACGGGCAGGGGGATCCTCCTCCTCCTCCTCCTCCTCCTCCTCCTCCTCCTCCTCCTCCTCCTCCTCCTCCTCCTCCTCGTGGTTCCTCCTGCCGCTCCTCATGGTTCCTCCCCCTGGCAGGGCTCGTTTCGAATGCTCCGATTCGATTCAACTTCGGATTCCGATTCGGATTCCGAGTTCTCAATGCACGCCCCACTGCGCTTGCCGATTCCCACCGATCCGACTCCTCCCGACGTGGCTGCCGATGTCCGCCGATCCGATCCACTTCGATCGCCGATCCGACTCGTCGGTTCGATTCTGGGCTCTCCTGCCCCTGGCGACCACTTCCCCGAGCCCGATGCCTCGAGCGGGAGACGCGAAGTGCGGTGGCTGCGCACCACGGCACTCAGGCGAGCGCAAACATGGATCGGGGGGGCGTGGATTGGCGGCGGGCCCCGTTTCCGTGCGAAATCGCGGGCGGAAACAGGCCGCAGTTTGGGGAGGGCACCTCCCCCGATCCGTGGATTCGGCGACCGCGCGCCAGATCCATGGATCGCTAATCTTAAGTCGGGCCTGTCCCCCTACAGGGGGATTTTTGACGAAAAATAAAAGATACCCCAAACATACACCAAAAAGGTCAAAACATATTCAACAAATAGTCGCCATATTTTTTTGAATATGTTTATGATTTTATTGTGTTTTTTTATATTTTTCGTCGAAAATCCCCCTGTAGGGGGACAGGCCCGACATAACGCTAATCCATGTCTGCGCGCTCCCGACCCTGGCGACCACCTCTCCCCGAGCCCGATGCGCCTCGAGCGAGAGACGCGAAGAGGGCGGTTGCCGCGCCACTCGCTACGGGGGTCTTTCCCAGTCTCTGTTCACTCGTGCAGGTCGGGGTTGGGGGGGGCTCTGAGTAGGAAAACAGAAAGTGACAGAAACATAGAAACTCGGAGGTCCGCGCGGATTTCTCGGATCGGCGCTGGACCCCCCCCTGGTGCGCGGAGCGCGCCAGGGGCGGCGCCGGAGGCGCCGCCGGGGGGCCCCAGCGCCGATCCGAGAAATCCGCGCGGACCTCCGAGTTTTTCTGTTTATTCCATTTTTTGTTCCCCTGGTTCATTCGTGCAGGTCGGGGTTTGGGGGGGGTCTGAGATGCATGCTCGCCGGCCGACTGGGGCCCACCGTGGGACGAGGGGGCTTCTTGATTGGGATGCGTAGGAGGAGAGGCAGCGGACGCAGTCTTGGGCTTGTGGCTCCGCTCGGCAGGAGGAGACAAAGGAGCAGCAGGAGAAGCTGCTAGACGACTACCGGTTCAAGGCCGTCCAGCTGAAGCAGGATCCGCCCATAGGGTCGGGAATGGGGTCGCAAAAGTGCGGTGAAGCTCGCACACCCAGGCTCCCTCCAGTCCTCCCGTTCCTCGTCATCCTCCCTCCATCTCTCTCGAACCCGCGTCCAAATGATACGGAAGATTCGTGTCGTGCCGATTCGGCGGCGACCCCAGCGCGGGCTCTCAAGGTTGAGTGCCGCCAGCGACCCAAAAGCGTTTGATATCGAACGGTGCTTTGCGATTGGAGGGCCGCGATCGTTCAGGGTTGAACGATTCGCACACTGGATTCCTTTTTCCGAAGCCAGGTGGCTCGAAGACGGGCCAAGAGGGCTCCAAGAGACCCCGAGCAAGTCCAAGATGGCTCCGAGGTGGCCCTGGAGCGCTCCAGGACGGCCCAAGAGGCCACCAAGACGCTCCCAGATGGCCCCCAAGAGGCCCTTGAGAGGCAAACGGGCAAACATCACAGATGTCCTTGTAGGTCTTCTGCATGATTGTCGCACCCCCTTGTCAGTCTTAAGGGCATCCGCGACTGCCAATCAGGCGCTCAAGAGGCCACAAAGACGGCATCAAGACGGCCCAAGAGGGCGCCTAGAGGTCCCCAAGAGGTGCCAAGACGAGCCCAAGAGGCCGTGAAGACGTCCCCAAGCGGTCCCACGAGGTCCCCAAGAAACCCCAAAACGCCCGGCGAGTCCCCCGGAGGTCGCAGGACTCCTGAAGAAGCCCCTAACATGCAGACGAGGGCCCCCCAAAAGCTCCAAGAGGACGTCCCGAGAGGCCCCCATCAAATGTGAACTCCGCCGTCTTCGGGCAGCTCCCCATCTCGGCATCGCTCGGACGTGTGCATTTTTCCTTCGGCGAGGACCATCGAGGAGCGTTCTTGATCATTTCGCGAAAAAACCACGCACGAAACCGAAAAAACACAGGAAATGGACGTCCGAGCGATGGACAGCCATGGATTCCCGCAGCGTCGCCTCCTCGGCACTCTGACAGCCCCTGGCTGCCCAACAGGACCCCGAGATGGGTCCGCCCTGGCGGCCCACCATCAGAAACTGAAACACAAACATTACTAAGTGGCGGGTGTTGTTTCAGTCCCAGGACTTTTTTGGGGGTCGGGGACGACGTCGGGGTGGCGTGGTGTACACTTCTCCCCCGTTTGCCCAGGGGAGACAGCGACAAATGTATGTACACCAGGATCCGCACACACTAGGATCCGCCCTCCAGGCCAAATTTCAATGCAGGCCGGAGAAAGCGTTGGTGTATAGAGTTCGATTCTTTATAGCAGGCGTCCCAAGGTGGGCCCAACACGTCCAAGTAGACTCTCCAGTGACCGCCCTCACAGCCACAAAAAGAGGGACCACAGAGAGGGCCCAGGACGTTCCCCCATCGGAGGGCCCCAGAAGCCAGCAGGACGCACCCTCAGAGGGTCCCCCGAGGGATCCCCGCGCCTGCCCTGACAGCCCACCCCGCGTGTGGGCCCGCAGGTGCCTCCACTACGCTTAAGTCGGGCTTGTCCCTCTACAGGAGGAATTATCAAAAATACTCAAAAAATACTCCGGGGACGATTTGTTCAACGTTTTATTTTTCGCCATTTTTTAAGTATTTTTTTGACTATCTTCAATTTTTCATCGGACCCCCCCCTGTAGGGGTACATGCCCGACTTAACACTACGCCCCAGGGCCGCCCAGGAGGACCCCACGGAGTTCAGGAAGGATCCGAAGACCCCCGACCGGCCTGCCAATACCCCCGACCGGCCCCACGACCGGCCTCCCAAGAGAACGCCAGACGTCGTCTCCCAAGAGAACGCCAGAATTAAGTCGGGAATATTGAAAAACAAGTAAATAATAGTCTGGGGACAACCTTTCGAATATTTTTTTGACAATTTTGGAATACTTCTTTGATGTTTAACATTTTTCATCGAAAATCCCCCTGTAGGGGTACATGCCCGACTTAACACTACGCCACAGGACCGCCCAGGAGGACCCCACGGAGTTCAGGAAGGATCCGAAGACCCCCGACCGGCCTGCCAAGACCCCCGACGGGCCCCACGACCGGCCTCCCAAGAGAACGCCAGACGTCGTCTCCCAAGAGAACGCCAGAACGCCAGACGCACCCAGGCATGGTGAGTCACGTGGCTGACGACGACTCCACCGCCGTCTTCTCTGGGCAGCCGACACTCCCGTTCCGGTGGCTCAAGATGACCTCTCGAGCTTTCCCAGGCAGTCTCCGACCGTTTCCGGAGGCCCATCCAGGCCCCCCAGGGAGCGCCCCAGGATGGCCTCCAGAGGCCCCCCCAAAGTGTCACGCTCGCGAACACAGGTTGTGCCTTTTCAGCCTTCCTCTTGGAGCCTTCCTGGAGCTCACCTCGGAGCGTCCTCGAACCTCGAGGGCATCCCCAGGCCGTCCCCGAGAACGCTGACAGTCTTCGGGGAGCCTTGGGACGGTACCAGGATGCCCTTGATTAACAAGGTTCGTTTCCGTGAGCCAATGTTGTGCCAATTCCCTGTGAGAGGAAAAAACACACAGACACAATTAATCGTCGATTGACGGGGAAGTATTGGAAACTATTGGGAAGTAGGGGGAAGACGAACATTCAGAAAAATGTAGGAACATATGGAGAATCCATGGATTTGTGTGTATTTTGCTGTGTTTCCTTGGGCCCTTCAATTTTGTCCCTGCTGTGTTGTTCTTTTGCCCCTTCAACCCTTGACCCTAATAACATAGAAAGGAGGTGGCTTCACTTAGGTCCCCGTCTGTGTATCAGGGATAATCCTTCTGGGCGCTTTGGTTCGACACATCTGCAGAAAAGATGCCCTATCCTTTATGTTTGTGGGCCTCCTAACTTGGTTCCCTCCCAAGGTGTTTGGGGTCCTTTGTCTGGCGCTTGTGGGGGGCCTTTGGGGGGCCTGCTGGCGATCTCGGGGGCCGTCTTGGGCCAGGGCGGGGCTTGAAATGTCGGTTCGTGTCCCCCTTTTGGGACCTCTCTCGTGTGCTCTTCTTGGGACCCCATTGGGCCGTCTTGGGGGCCTCTTGGGCCGTCTTGGGCCGATCCTGGGGGCCTCCTGGGCTGCCTTGGAGCATCGAAAGCCCGAAAAGCCAAGAATCTTACAATCTTTGAAAGGCCCGAGGACAAACATGAAGTCGGCATCTCGGGACCCTCGTGGGGGCCTTCTTGGATCCCTCCTGAGGCGTCTGTGGGGCCGCTTGGGCAGTCTTGAGGCCATCGTGGGCGTCTGAGAGCGATACTTGGCCGACTCAGGGGCCATCTTGGACCGTCTTGGCCCGGCGCCCTCTTGCCTCTGGAAGAATCAATGCAGCCGACCCCGAGAGCGCCAAAGCGTGTCCGGAAGATTTGGAAAGTTGGGCCCTCGATCCTGGAATCAGACTTGCAGTATTCGATACGGAGAACTCGACGGGACCTGAGAACATTCCAACCCGTGCGTCAGGGCACGGTGGCGGATAGAAGGGATAGCAGGGACCGAACAGCGCGAAAGGGAGGGTGGCAGGCGGCTTTTCAGGGAGGGGAGGTGTTAGGCCTGGAGGTCTGGTGTCAGACATGCGGCAACGTATTGGTTTCCACTGTCTATCAGCTGTTCGTTTTGCCGTCCTGGCATCTTCTTTTCGATTGTTCCCGATATGAGTTGGGCTGCTCTCCGACAGGACAACGAGAAGGCCGAGATGGCGCTATCTGGTATGAAGCTCTCGAACAAGGACGAGGAGGACCGCTTGACTAGGGACATGAAGTGATGGGCCGACTTCCCACCACCACTACAATAGGTAGGAGGAGCTGGAGGAGGAGGAGGAGAAGGAGGAGGAGGAGGAGGAGGGGGAGGATGACCTCCCAATCCTTGCTTATCCCCCCTTCTGCCTGTGGTGGTGTTGGCGGTGGAAAGTTCGCCCATCATAGAGGTGCAGAGTCAGCGCTTGCATATATGGCACGGGTGCGCCGCTGTGATAAAGGGGGCGCAGAAGGGCGGCCTCGAGAGATCGGAGGGCCCTGGAAATGCACAAGTTCTGGCATAGCACGGGAGGGCCGACATCATCGTCGCCCCGCCGCGAAGAAGACGACACCTATATATATATATATATATATATAAATAAATTCATATACATATATATATATACATATATATAGCACCTCGCAGATGCGGATGAGAGTGAGGGGGCGGTGGGGACGTCGGCAGCTTGCGAGACTCTGGAGAAGCCCGCCGCAGGCGCCAAAGTCTCACAGTTCATACGACGAGCCCGCCGCAGGCGCGCCGATTTGTTTCGTTTCACCAGTGTGGGTAGGTCGCGGGTGGTTCGCTGTTGGGTCGCGGGTGGGTCGCGGGTGTAGAGGGTCGAAAACCCATCCCATAATAATCACCCCGACAAGCGGAGGCGTTGGGTCAACGCACACAAGCATGAATCGAACAGGGCAGGGCTGTTTAGTAAACGCCCAAGGCCGTTTAGTAAACGTCAATTGTCGGGTCCGGGTGATTTCCCCTCCTTTGAGGCTGGGTCGCGTGGTGGGTCGCGGGTGGGTCGCGGGGTGGGTCGCGGGTGGGTCGCGGTTTGGTCGTGGATGGGTCGCGGATGGACCGCGGGGTGGGTCGCGGGTGGGTCGCGGGGTGGGTCGCGGGTGGGTCGTGGGAAGGTCGCGGGTGGGTCGCGGCTGGGTCGCGGATGGGTCGCGGGGTGGGTCGCGGGGTGGGTCGCGGGGTGGGTCGCGGGGTGGGTCGCGGGTGGGACGGCAGCAAACAACAACAAAAACAACAACAACCAACAACACCAGTTACAACAATTACAACAACGCAATAAGCCGAATTATCCCCACAAATTCCTTACTCAGCCACGCACCCAGGGACAATGAATGACCGTTCGGCCCCCTCACTCCGAATAATAAGAAGAAGCCGTCGTCGACGTCGACATCGTCGTCGTCGTCGTGTTCGTCGTCGTCGTGTTCGTCGTCGTCGTCGTCCACGTCGATGTCGACGTCGACGTCGTCGTCGTTGTTGACGTCGTCGTCGTCGCCCCGCCAGGCAAGACGCGGATGTTCCCAGTGCAATTGCCTTACTGCTCGTCCGCAGCCTCTGCGCGCTCGCGAGTGCGCGACGCGCCCCTCTCTTCGGTACCAAGCTGACGACAGCAAGCCTCGCCGCCCCACAAGCAAGCTCTCCAGACCAAGCTCGGTAGAACCATTTCGGCCCAGTTTGGGTGGCAGCGCTACAATGTTGTAGCGTGTGACGTCTAAGTTGTTGCATGTTTCTTGTGTGCCATCTGATTTCCTCATTGATGGCTTCTTGGGGGCTTGTTTGGGCCCTGTCTCTCGGGGCCCTCGTGGGGGCCTTCGGAGGCATGCGTCGAGCCCGTTTTGAAACGCGATGGTTGTTCCCTTCCGGGAGGCCTCTTGGTCCTTCGGGGCATTTGGGTCTCTTGGTTGCGTCCCCAGGAGAATCATTGCACGAGGGATACAGTCAGACCGAGGTACAATATCGAGGTCGGTTCGGGGAGGGTACCCTAGTGTTCTTCGTGCTGGACGTTCCTTGTGCATCCTGGCGAGCGTACCCTTGGACTTTCTGTGTTTTGGCCGGCGGAGGGTTTCGTGGTCTCGAAGGATGTTCTTCTGGCCTAGGTTCGACTATAGGGGGGCTGGAGACACCCACATCTGCGTTTGTAGGTTTTACGCCATGGCCCCCACATCGGAAAGGAGACAGGACTGGAGAGACAGTGTGCACTTGGGAAGCAGCAGGCGGAAGGCCAGGGACGCCCCCAAGGCGGGTCGTTCCGCAGGGTGTCTCGCAGCCCGGCGCGGTGGACTTGTGTGTGAATATCTCCGCGTCTATCTACACGTGTATCGCTTGGATGCCTCTTGAGCAATCTTAGGGGCCTCCTGGGCGCTTCTTGGGCCGTCTTGGGCTCCCTCCGACTATCTTGGAGATCTTGGAGGCATCTTGGGGCCGTCTTGGAGGCCATGTTGGGGCCATCTGGCCGTCTTGGCCGTCTTGGAGTCATCGTGCAGGCCATCTTGGCCGTCTCGGAGGCGATGTGAGCAATTGAGGAACTCTTTAGGGCGGCCTCCTGGGTGGCCAGCGGGATCGGCCAAAGCCCCACCTGGGATCTAGCAGAAACAACAATATCTTGAAGTCTGGCATGCCAAGCACCCATGCGACAAGCCAACAGGGGGCGGCGGATCGAAGATGCCAACAGCAAATCACCGCCGCCCCCCGACTTGGGGGATACACATGTGGCAAAACGTGTGGGCGAAGTTTGGCCACGCTACTGGACCATGCGTTCCCCCAGCCGTTGTGGAGGCCCTTGGGGAACACGCAGGGGAGGAAGACGAGGATCAGGAAAAGGGTGATGAGATCCTTCGGGAGCTTCTTGGGTCATCCTTGGGGCCTCGGGACCTCCTGGAGGCTTTTCCGGGGCCTCCTTGGGCCTCATGGAGCCTTTGGGGGCATCTTGGGGGCCTCTCTGGCCGTCTTAGGGCGCTCCTGGCCCGTCTGACGCGGTCGGAAGCCATCTTGGGGCCTTCGTGGGGCGCTTCAAGGCCTCGGAGGCCATCTTGGGCGTCATGGAAGCCCCTTGGGCTGTCTTGGGCCCCCTTTTGGGGCCGTCTTGGGGGCCTCTCGGGCCGTCCTGGTGCCATCTTGGAGGCCTCGTCGGGCTTGCCTGGATGACCTCTTGGAGGCCTCTTTCGTCGTCTTGGAGGCCTCTTGGGGGCCTCTTGGGCCGTCTTGGGATACCCTGAGGGCGTCGTGGGTGCATCTTTGGCCGCCGTATTTGCATCTTGGGGCCATCTTGGGCTCTCTTGGGGCCATCCTGTCCGTCTCGGAGGCATCTTGGAGGCCATCTTGGGCAATTGTTTGTCTTGGAGGCCATATTTGGACCATCTTGGAGCGGGAAAGGCATTGACCTGTAGATTTCTGGAGCTCTCTGGCTGGTCAGCGGGCTGGGCCGAAGTTTCTGTAGAGAAGAAATTAAGCAGCACCTCCTAGAAATCTGGCACGCCAGGCACCCCTGCGGACAGCCAAACGACGCAAATGTCAAAATCCGTCCAAACCCAAGGAAGCAAGCTACTTTTGACTTCTTCGGGCCGTCCTGGAGAACCTTGTGGACACTTCTTGGGCCGTCATGGAGGCCTCTGAGGGGCCCTTGGGGCAGTGTGTGGGAGACTTCTAGCAGCCATTTTAGGCCGTCTCGGTCACAAATTGGGCTGTCCGGAGACATCTGGCAATCACTGTGGGCACTCTGTCGCCCCCCCCCTCTCCCCCCCTCTGGCGGCGCGGGAGCGACCCCGGAACAGGCAGACCCCCTTCCCCCCCGCTTCCCCGGCAGCGCCACCCTGCCCCCTCCCCCGGCAGCAGAACCGAAGCTCAGGCTATGACATGGAAGCTGGAAGAAGTGACCGGGGCCAGCCCTTCCACTCTTTCCAGCCCTGGCCAGTTTCCCTCTGTAGTTTTTCCGGCCCTGGCGACCGCATCCCCACTGTTTCGGGCTCGCTTCACCCCCTGCCAGTGTTTCCAGCCCTGGCCACCTCCACTTTCTCTGATTTTCTTACTTCCACTTTTTCCAGCTTCCCTGTAACCTTCCAAACACACGCGGGATCGGCGCGAGTACAGTGCAGGCCCATGCCAAGAGACTCCCTGCTTGCCTCCAGGGTGCCCTGGGTGTCCTGGGTTTGGATGGTTTTGCAGTGGAAGGCGTGATGTTCTTCCCACACCGAAAATCCATGGACGTCCTGGGGTCTCAGGGCTGGGCTTCTTTCAGAGCCCCGAATCATCAGGGGTAACTCGGGTCAGGGTTAACTCGGGTCCGTTCTTCGGGAATCCGAACCCGACTTACCCCGGACCCGAGTTACCCCGGATAATTCGGGCGTCCAGAGCCCCAAAATCATCAGGGGTAATTCGGGTCAGGGCTAACTCGGGTTCGTTTTTCGGGAATCCAAACCCGAGTTACCCCGGACCCGAGTTACCCCGGATAACTCGGGCGCCCAATTCTTGTGGGAGGTTTCTTGTGGTCAGGCCCCTACTGAACCATGCGGGTGCTCCATGCTCGGTCCGGACCTCCGCATCCCAGGGGGGCGCCTAATTAGTATCAAGTCGGGCACGTCCCTCTACAGGAGGAATCTCAAACGTAGTAAAAACAATAATTACGGGACGATTCTTCGGTTATTTTTGGGTCATTGTTGTCTCTCCCTCTGTCTCTGTCTCTTTCTCTCTCTCTCTCTCTCTCTCTCTCCCTGCTCGCGAGGAGTCCTTGGGGCTTCTCCTGCTCCCCCCTCCTCCAGAGGTTCTCGCCCCTCTTTCTCTCTCTCTCTCTCGAGCCCCGCCCGGGGGGCGGGCGGTTCCCACCCAAGACAAAACGGAGAGAGTGGATCGTCTGACTATTTTTTATTTTCGCTTCAAAGTAATACCAGTAGTGCTATTACTTTATTTATTTCGAGCATCACCCAGAACGGTGCCCTGGGATCCACTGGTGCCGCTTCTCCTTTCCCCTGTGACTTTCCCTCGGGCCTGTGTGTGACCATCATGTCTCATACTTTCAGAAGCCTTGCCTGTCAAAGGTGCTTTCCGCGCTTGCTTCCTACATGCACCTCGGCTTATTGAGTTCCGTCTCAGTGCCGGCGCGCCATCAGGCGAAAAGACAAGTCTTGTTGGAGGAGAACGAGGAGATCAAGGCGCGACGGGTCATCGGTGGCGGTGGGCGTGCTGCCACGTACCTGCGCCGCCGGCGACGACTGAAACACTCATCGCAACCTGGCAGTCCTTGCCAACGCACGTGGGCGATCGTCCCGACTCCTCCTCCTCCTGACTCCTCTTCCTCCTCCTCCTCCTCCTCCGCCTTGGCCAGTTCTGGCCCAGCTCCGCTGCACGGCTCCGGAGTGGGCCCGTCCAGACCGAGAGGCCACCACATCTGCGCGGTGGGCCGTTGAGCAAGCCTGCGGGACCCCGCTGCGCACGCTGCCGCTGGTGCCGAGGCCGCCGCGCGGCGGTGCCGCCGAGGGTTGGGTGAGGAGGAGGGAGGGAGGGAGGAGGAGGAGTGAGGAGGAGGAGGAGGAGGAGGAGGAGGAGGAGGAGGAGGAGGAGGAGGAGGAGGGAGAGGAGGAGGAGGAGGGGGGAGAAGGATGATGAGGAGGAGGAGGAAGGGAGGAGGAGGAGGCAAAGAGGAGGAGGTTGCGTCCTCCGCCGGGCTTCCCTCGTCGCCTTTTCGCTCTCCTGCCGCCCCTCTTCGTCTGCCCACCCCTGGGGGGGTCTTGGGCGACGGCAGCCTGCAGCGCGGCGCGCTGAGCCCAGACGGGCCACCCGGTTCGAGTCGAGCATGTCCCTCTACAGGAGGAATATGCACAAGTAGCAGAAAAAAGTGCGGGGACGACTCGTTGATTCGTTTTGCATTTGTGAGCTTACTTTGCTTGTTGATCGGTTGATCTTATTCTTCGCCCCTAGGAGGACATGCCCGACCTGACGCCAGTTCCAGGCTGCCGTGTCGGCCCCGCGCGGGCTTCCTGCCCAGGACGGAGGGGGAGGCGTGAGTTCGGCTCCTCGGGGGCGGCAAAGAGGGGGGGGATGACTAGGGTTAAGTCGGGCCTGTCACCCTACAGGGGGACTTTCGACGAAAAATAAAAAACATACCCCAAAAATATTCCAAAAAGGTAGAAAAATAGTCGAACAATGATCCCCAGACTATGTTTGGAGCATTTTTCTATTATTTTTGGTGTATTTTTATTTTTTCGTCGAAGATCCCCCTGTAGGAGGACACGCCCGACTTAAGACTAGGGGGAGCGGATATCGTGGCGTGGGCCATAATATCTCGCCAGATATCATGGCGCCTCCTCTTATTTCTTTGCGTCCCTGGCCCCCCCCCCTGGGCCGCGCACATGCCGCCGCCCACGACTGGCGCCTCCCCCTCTTGGACGCCCCCCTCTTGGCCGCCCCCGGAGCTCTGCCCGGGTCGGTGTGGTCGAGGCAATGGTGGGTCCTGGCGTGCCCGAGTTTTTCGCTGATGGCGTGACAGGGTGCGCACGACCCAAACCCAGGGCTGGACCTAAACGCTGTTCTGCTGGGTTTCGGCTGTGTTTTGTTTTTTTGTTTCGGCAGGAAGGTGCAGGAAATTAGGTGTACCGAGACGAAAAACAGAACGAACACGAAACGAAAAACAACGTTCAGGTCCAGCCCTGCCCAGCGTCATGTTTTTTTTTTGTTTCTCATAATGCTGACCCCAGAGGTCTGTGCCCCCCCTGATAGTCCGCTACCGAAAATTTCCAGTAGCGCTCCGCAGAGATCGGTCGCTACCGAAATACCGAAATGTAGCGCCCAATACCGGTATCAGAGCGTTCTGAAATCCGTTATTTCAACGCCCTCAAACAAAGATCCGGTCGCTACCGAAATTCGGGGTGCGTCGAAATCGCTACCGAACATTTCCGGTACCAGACCATCTGGGCCTTCCCCGAAACCCGCTGTTCAGCCCGAGTCGTTTCCCCTTGAGGCCCGGGAAGCCCCCCGGGAGGCCGAAGGCAGCGCAACACTTTCCGCCGTGAGCTCTGCGCAGCCCGAGGGGGTCCGGGCATGGTGCACGCAGCGCGCGATCCCAGCCAGGTTGCGGCAGCACGGAGAGTAGGAGCACGGGAGAGGAGGAGGAGTGAGGAGGAGGAGGAGGAGGAGGAGGAGGAGGAGGAGGAGGAGGAGGAGGAGGAGGAGGAGGAGGAGGAGGAGGAGGAGGAGGAGGGAGAGGAGGAGGACGGGGGCGGGGGAGAGGGAAGGGCTGCAAAGGCGGTCGGCGGAGGCGGGGGCCGTCGCCGCCGCTGCCGCCGCTAAGGGGGCCACAAGCGAACCCTACCCCTACCCCCCACGATTTCTGAGGGGGAGGGTGGGGTTCACTTCGCTTGGGAGCTCCCGAACGAAGTGAACCCCATCCTTCCCCTCAGAGATCGTGGGGGGTAGGGGTAGGGTTCGCGTCTGGCCCCCTAGTTGGGGCAGCACCGAGAGAGGAAGCCCCCGGCCAGACCTCGGGGGCGGCAGGGCCCCGGCAGGGCCTCGGGGACGACGCAAGTTTTTATATGTGTCATGTGTATCCATACATATACCTGCACGAACGAGATGTGCACGGAAAGAATGGGTACAATGCCCAACAGCAGTTCTTTATCATTTTGAACAGGATTCGCTGTCTGCGCCGCCGCGGCCTGTGTCCATGCGAGACAGAAGGCCGCCTGCCCAACAGCGGCCGCTGTTGGTTTGGGACAACATTCGTTGTTGGGCATTGTACACATTTTTTCCGTACCCATTTCGGGCGTCCGTATATGTGTGTGTGTATATATATATATATATATATGTGTTCGGCCTCTGGGGTGCCTCACAGGGCCCCGGGGCCGTTAAGAAACGACTCAGGATGAGAAGCCGGTCCCAGGGAAGGGGTCCAGACCTCTGGGGATCGACGGACGTCGGGGGTAGGGGCGATCAATGGGGGTGGCTCGGCGGCGAGGGCTGCCGACAAGGGGCCCTTCGGGGCCCCTAGAGGTCCCCCATGTAGGTCCCTGAAACCCTGGGTGGGGCTCCCAATGAGGCCACGCGTGCAACCTGCTCCGCCACCGGCCCAGGCGTTTCCCGGGCGCTCCCAGGCGCTCCGAAGCGCTCCCAGATGCCCCCAGGCGCGGCGTCTGAGGAAGGCAATTCCTTTAGATGTATTTATTTTGGACGTGCACCATTTCCGCGACAACCGCTCCCTGGCGCTTCCCAAGTCTCCCAAGCGCTCCTGGGCGGTCTCGGGCGCTCCCAGGCTCTCACAGGGCTGATAAAGTCAGGAGGGTAACAATAACACACAGACACAATGAATCGTCGATCCCCATGAAAATATGGAAAACTATGGGAATTGGGCGGAAAGACAAAAACCCTAACAATATTTGAAAATATGGGGAATCCTTTTATTTGTGTGTATTTATTTGTGTGTCCTTGGGCCCCTTCATAAATGGGGGACGGCGAGGGCTGCCCATAAGCGGCCCAGCAGGGCCTCGAAAGGGGGGACCCTTTCCGCTCCCTGGCCGGGGCCCGTTGGTGGGGGGGGCCCCACAGGGCGCCTTCTGGGCCCGAAGTCAAGCAGTGGCGAAGCGTCCTGGCTCGCCTATAGCCCTACCAAACCATGTTCTACAACCTTTTTATGGTTTCCACGAAATGTTCTTAAAGCGTTTCTGGCTGATCTTATCGTGTTCTAACACACCCGGTTTATGTTCTAAGAACGTTGCTTTTATTATTAGAACATTTCTGGGTTCTAAGAGCATTTCGTGATACGACTATGGGAATGCCGGGACGGTCGGTCCCTGCTCAACGAAGAGAGCACCTCGTTTCCCCTCTCAGCTATCGCTCCCCCAAGAAAAACTCGCGTCAACCCTCGGTCGTTGAAAGCAGGCATTTCTGGATTCCCAGAGCCCAATCCAGTTCCAGCGCCTTCAGACTTCAGTCATCGATCTGCTTTTGCTGCGTGCTGTTACTCTCCGGGTGGGCCCGAACCCAATCCACTTTGGCCGCCTCGTTTCCTACCCACTTCTTACGACCGATGGGTATAGGACCCGGCGCGGCCTGCACTTAGTCCCCACGAGCGGGTCCCAGCTCCTCCCCGAGAGGCCTCGGCGCCGTCGTCCCCGTCCCGTGGCCCCCCCCGCCCCCCCTTGGAGGCTTGGAAATGAACACCAACGCCAACACACTATCACCATCACGATGGAGGCCTGGCCCAGGAAGCTCGAATACGACCACTACCCTCGAGATCGGGATCGTCTTCCCTCGTTGGAGGCACGATGCCGATATCGGCGTAGGTGCCAGCCTCCAGTGGCCTCCGACCCCCCTCTTTTTTCGGCGGGCCCGCGCGCCGCAACGAGGGCGCGGCGGCCTGCCCGGCGCGGGCGTGTTCTGCATGGTTTGTGATGCCGCCAGTGTTAAGTCGGGCGTGTCCCTCTGCAGGAGGAATCTTCAAGACTAGTCAGCAGAAAAACATGTGGACGATGCTTCGCCGATGTTTTGACCGTTCTTGAATATGTTCTGTCAAGTTTTCATTGTTCTTCCGAAATTCGCATGTCGGGGAACATGCCCGACCTCAGGATAAGTGGGGGGGGGGCCGCGAGGGCTGCCGAGAAGGGGCCCTTCAGGGCCCCTGAAGGGGCCTTTGAGGGCCCAAGAGGGGGCCCTTCGGGCCCGAAAAGGGCACCTGTCTTCCCCCCCTCATGTATCGCCTCCTCATTTATGCATTTACGCGCATGCGAATTTGCATGTGTTTTCCTCCTCCTCCCTCTCCTCCTCCTCTTCCTCCTCCTCCTCCTCCTCCTCCTCCTCCTCCTCCTTTTGATCCACTTAGCCGGCCCAGCGTTTCACCCTCCATTTCGCGTCGTTGTTTGAGATTGTTCCTGCCCACGCGCCTGACGGCGTATGGCTTGTGAGTGGGCGAGCATTAATTCACACACTATGGACGCCGCCAGTGGCCCGGAGTCGAGCGATATCGACCCGCATCGTTCAGGGCTGATCCCTCCACGCGGTGTCTGAACCAAAACATACGACGTTACGGCACGACTTTGCTTTAGCCCGCAGTTCCCAAAGGCCTTCGCCCCTGCGGTTTCTGCCGCCCCAAGCATAAAGGCTGTCTTCGTTCTGCCAGATACGGAGAGAGGGCAGTTTTCTCCCGCAAGTTTCTCGAGAGATCTGCCTTCGATTTCGGGGCTCTTCTTGCGTCTAGATCTGGAGCAGCTACTAGACCGCCGTTCGCCCCTCACTATCGACCCCAAGGGTGCATGGCCATGCCAGAACCCTTCCCTTCCGCTGCCAATGCTGGTAGCCCTCATCTCCGCTGATCTATACGCTGGCATTGCACTACTTCGCGCGACCCTCGCTGGGGACCCCAACCCCAGCTCGGCGCAGTAGATCAATTGCTGGAGGGTCAGGCGCAGATCAAGCAGACCTCCGAGGCGACCAAGCTCGTGACCATGGAGAAGGACAAGGCACAGAAGGCCCGGCTGGCACCGCGCCCCGCTCCGCCTCCCTCTTCGCTTTATTCCAGTTCTTCCCCCTGTTTGCTGAGGAGGGGGAGGAGGGAGGAGGGAAGAGGAGGGAGCAGGAGGAGGGAGCAGGAGGAGGACGACGAGGAGGACGGCGCTCTGTCCTTCGTCCGCGTCCGCGGCCGCCCTTCTCCCTCTCCGTCGGCACAGGTGCACGATAATCAGCCCCCTGCCGCGCCCCGCCTCTTGCGGCATGGCGCGCGCCTCCGCGCCGCCGCTGACGAGACGAGACCGTCTCCCGACGGCTGCCTGCGGGGGGGCCTGGCATCGCTCGGACGTGTGCATTTTTTCTCGGCGAGGGCGATCGAGGAGCATCCTTGATCATTTGGCGAAAACCACGCACGAAACCGAACAAAACACAGGGAATGGACGTCCGAGCGATGCGCAGGTCCCACGGACGGCGCACGGTGCACACGGGAGGGCGCGCGCGATCCGCGGACGGAGCCCTCACCGGCGGGGTCCGCGAGGCGAAGGCCGAGGAACAGAGAGCATCACGGCAGAGCCCCGCACGGAGCACGGAGGAGCTCTCTCCGCTCTCGAGCAGCGGGGGCGGAAGAGAGGGGGGTGATGACTAGGGGGGGGGATCTCATGGCGTGGGCCATGATATCGTCCTCGTCGGCCTCGTCGGGACCTCTCGTCGGGACCTCTCGTCGCCACGCCTGGATCCGCCTCGAAGCACGGGGCAGGAGGGACCCACGCAGGGGTCCCGGGATCGATTTGAGCGGAGTTGGGACGGGCGGGAGGACAGCCGTTGTCTCAGCTGGGCGTCCTGCGATGGAGGGAGAAGGTGGTAATGGGACGGGAGAATGGGCAAGCATTCGAGGCGGAAATTTCCCCATCACCACCACCCGGGGGATCGGTCATCGGGGATCTCGGCAGGCGGTGGATGTATTCGGTGGCCTTGGGCCAACATATATATATATATATAAAACTCACAGGCCGCTGGGGTCCCAGTGCACGAGATGAGGGGGCAGGACGGGGAGAGGAGAGAAAGCGAAGGTGACGCACACCTCAGCGAGTAGGAGGAGGAGGAGCAGGAGCAGAAGGAGGAGGAAGAGGAGCGAGGAGGGGGAGAGAGGGGGAGGAGGAGGGGATAAGGAGGAGAAGGAGGAGGAGGAGGAGGAGCCCAGGCGGCGAACCTGAGTAGATCCTCGCCTTGCAACACAGATGGTGAAGTTCGAGGGGGGGGGGAGGGCCAGCCGAGTTGCTTGCGCCAGGCTCTGGAGCAGCTCAAGAGGAAGAAGGACATCGAGGAGCTGCCCGCGCCTCGCCCGAGCGGCGCACCCGATGGGGGGCGTCCCAAGAGCGAGCCCTGGGGAGGGGGGGGGGGTCAGGACGAGAGGAGGTCGAGATCCTCCCCCCTCCTCCTTCCTCCTCCTCCTCCTTCCTCCTCCCTGCTCCTCAGCCTCCGACTCCTGCCTGCTCCTCAGCCTCCGACTCCTGCTTCCTCCTCCCTCCCTCCGCCTCCTCCGCTTCCGTCCTTCCTTCCGCCCGTCCGTCCTCCTCCTTCCTCCAGCCTCCTACTCTTCCTCCTCCCTCCTCCGCCTGCTTCCTCCTCTTCCGCCCTGCCTCCCGCCCTTCCGTCCTCCTCCTTCCTCCGTTTTTTTTCTCCCTGAGAACTAAGTAAGTTCCTCCCTGTCGCACCCCATGAGACGTGCCCGTGGGGCGGTAGGGTCCGGGCGTATGGTCTGACATTTTGTTTCGCCGCCATTTATGTTAGGTCGGGCGTGTCCCTCCACAGGAGGAATATTGAGAAAAGTATAACACATAGTACGTTGACGAATTTTATGTTTTTCCATACAGTGCCGTTTTTTATACATGCTCCGCGTGGGGATAATGTACTAAACATGCAGGGATTTAGCATTCAAAACAACGATGAGTTCATGCATTAAACATCATCATGATGCATTTAACATGCATGCAACGATGAGTTCATGCATTATGCATTCAAAACAACGACGTATTAATACATCAATCATGTATTAAACATCCCATATGTTTGAAAATCCTATGTATTAAAAACAGCCCTGTATGTTTGAGCACTTTTGGGGTATTTTTCAAAGTTTCCTTCAACTTCTGCCTGTACAGGGGACATCCCCGACCTAAACTTGCAGCAGCTTCAGGGACAGAAGGTGGACCGTGTTCAGAGTGTGGCTCGCGCTTCAGCGCCGCGCACGTTCGTTCGAAACACTTGCGGCAGCTTCAAGGATGGATGCTGGGCCTTTTGCAACATGCGGTTCTTGCTTTAGCACCGCGCAAGTTCGGATTAAAATGTTGCCCTTGTTGTCAAGAATGGGGGGTAACAGTGTGGCTCTCGCTCTGGCGCCGCGGACGTCTTCAAAGCTTGCAGCACGTTCTAGGATAGGAGGTGGCTCCATTTCAAAATGAAGTTCTCGCCTTGGCGCCGCGCGCACTTGCGGTAAACATTTGCAGTAGTTTCAGGGGCTTGTGTGGTTAAAGTCACAGGAATAGTCTTGGCATCGCTCGGACGTGTGCATTTTTTCTCGGCGAGGACCATCGAGGAGCATCCTGGATCACTTAGCGAAAAATGCTCACACGAAATCGAAAAATGCACGAATGCACGGGGAATCGACGTCCGAGCGATGGCGAGTGGTGTGTTGGCACGGTTGGATTGTAAAGACAAGAGTCGCGTGGGTTCGCGGTGTTGAAAGCCTAGGACTGGTGTCCTGGCACTGTTCTGCGATCTCCGGACGCAACAGTCATTTTGATTCGCGGCATCGAAGTCCCAGGAATTGCGTTTTGGTGGATTTGAGGATTCTCAGACGGTTATCTTTCAATGGGGCACTCCGCTCAATGACAGTATATTCTTGTATAGGCCTATGAAGAGGGAACTTGGAGGAAGGGTTTAGTGCAACATCGTTGATGCGGCTTCGATTTACACTGGCCCTCCCCGAGAAGGGCGGTGGCGGGTGGGGCCGGGGTTGGCACCTCGAGTCGGCGCCCCATAGTGGGCCGGCGGGGCCCATCGCCGAGTCAGGCTCTCCCCCCCCTCTCTCTCTCCCCCCTCTCTCTCTCTCTTTCTTCCTGGCCCCAGCGGGGCAAAGAAAGGGCTCCGCGGAGTGCTCTGGGGCTTCCCGCGCTCTCGCGGGACTCCTCTCAGTCTCCCGGCGGCCGCGGCCTCCGCGGCGGCGCCGCGGTCTCGCGCCTCGTGGAGGCTCTCGCGAGGGCGCCGGGTCCCGGTCCCTGCCCTGCTTTCAGGGGCAACGATTGAGGGGGCATTGGCATATGGGGGGTGCATCGACCCCCAATCGCCCACTGATCGCCGATGGGGCCCGATGGCACCAAGCTGCCCAGGAAGGTGCGGATTCCCTATTGGGGGCCCATCGCCGATCTATCGGCGACGTATCGCCGATTCCAGGTCGATGTTTCCCCCCCTACGCCCATCCCCCCCTATCGTTGCCCCCCGATGCCTATCATGCCTCGACCCTCCTCCTCGCCCTCCTCCTCCTCCTCCCCGTCCCCCTCCTCCTCCTCCTCCTCCTTCTCCTCCCCCCAGTTTCAGGTCTGCCGCGCTCTTCCCCGGTGAGGGGGTGGCCCCCTCGTGGCCACGGACTGAGACAGGGTTCTCCGAGGCTCTGGTGGAGTGTTGGCTGGGCGGCGGCCGAAGAGGCAGGGCTCCTCCTCCTCCTCCTCCTCCTCCTCCTCCTCCTCCTCTTCTCTTCCTCCTCCTCCTCCTCTCCTCCTCCTCCTCCTCCTCTCCTCCTCCTCCTCCTCCTCCTCCCCCCCCCCTCCCTCCTCCCTCCCCCCTCCCCCCTCCTCCCTCCCTCCCTCCCCTTCCTCCCTCCCACTGGGCCCACCCTGCGCCCTCCCGAGCGGAGCCGAGGGGCCCTGCACCCTGTCTTCAAGCAGTTGCGAAGCGTCGCGGCTCGCCCATAGGCCCACCAAAGGATGTTCTAAGAGCCTTTTGTGGTCTGCACGCCATGTTCTCGGAACCTTTCTGGCTGGGGCTACCTCGTTTTGACACATCGGTTTATGTTCCAAGATCACGGTTTGTGCTCTTAGAGCATTTCTGGGTTCCAAGAACATTTCGCGGTAGGGCTATAGGAATACCGGGACGGTAGGACCCTGCCCAATGTCTGTCTTGGCTTCAGTCGGGCACGTCCCTCTACAGGAGGAGTATCCAAAAGTACGTGTAACATAGTCCGGGGACGACGTTTCGAATATGTTTGGCTACTTTTTGATACTGCTCACTATTCCTCCACAGTCTGGCTGTAGGAGGACATGCCTGACCTGAGGCTTGGCCCCTCCTCCTTCGGCGCCCCTTTCTGTGCGCAGTCTGCGCTTGCTTCCGTGGCCTGGCAGCCGGTTGCTTCCTCCTCCTCCTCCTCCTGCTCCTCCTCTTCCTCCTCCTCCTCCTCCTCCTCCTCCTCCTCCTCCTCCTCCTCCTCCTCCTCCTCCTCCTCCTCCTCCTCCTCCTCCTCCTCCCCCTCCCCCTCCCCCTCCCCCTCCCTCTCCCCCTCCTCCTTCTCCTCCTCCGCCTCCCCCTCCTCCTCCTCCGCCTGGCGACAGAGCCGAGCAATTTTTGCCCGAGGCGGGGGTGCATCCACAACCAGGGGAGGGGGATCGCCCTCCGGGGACCTGGGCAGTCGGTGGACGTGGATGTATCCCTGGCTCGCACGCTGGGCCCCGTCCATCCAGCCCGCCATCCCTGCTGCCCCCCCCTCCTCGCAAGCCGCGGGCACGACCCCCTGGCCAGGTCCAACAGCCAGTATCCCGCGTGGCGGGCTGGTCGGCTGTGTATGGCCCCGTGCGTGGCGTGCGGCTTCCTGAATAGGGCTTTCTGGGTGTCGCATAGATGTCCAGGTGTTCGCGCGTGTGTGGTGGGGGCGGCGAGCGAGGGGGGGCAGTGAGGAGGAGGCGGCCTCCTCAGACGGCGGCGGGACTTCTCAGAAGCCCTATGGCCTTCTGAGACGGCCTTCCGAGAGGTGTTCTCCGTTTTCGGGGGCGGCTTAGGAAAACGCTTCAGAAAGCCGGGGGACTTCCGAGCCCTTGAGAGGGCCTTCTCTTTTCAGTTCCCCCCCTCGCTCCCCGCCGAATGTGATCGTATTCAATGAATGTTCAGGAATGGTAACATTATGGAGAAAATCTTCGAAGCGTCGCGCGGCGCGTAATACACGTAGTCTGACGTGAACCCGATGTAAGTAAGACGTGGATCCGACGTACATCGGACCTCAAGTTGCCGCGCAACGCCTCCAGGACTTTCCTCATATGTCACAGGTTTGGTTCCTGCCAGCATCTAGGCTCTGCGAATGTATGCAGGCTCAGCGCCAGAGCCTCTGCCGGGGTCCTGTTCTCCGCCCATGACTAGCTCCCACTTTCCCCGCGGCGGCCCGAGAGAGCAGCCTGCAGAGGCTCCGCCACATGCCGCCCCTGGTGCAACATGCAACTCAAGCAGTGGCGAGGCGTCCTGGCTCGCCTACAGGCCCACCAGAGAATTGTCTAAGAACCTTGTGCGGTTTGCACGACATGTTGTTAGAACATCTCTGCCTAAGGCTGGTACCGGCTAGACTCCGGGCAGGGGGAGGGCGGAAGGCTCCTCAGAAGCACCACTGCTTCTCAGAGGGCGCGGGCCTTCTCTATACATGCAAGGCCAGCGCCTTCTGGAGGCCTGCCCCTCTCCCCTAGCGGGCCACATGCAAACCCTAGCCCTACCCCCCACGATTTTTGAAGGGGAGGGGTGGGGTTCACTTCGCTCGGGAGCTCCCGAACGAAGTGAACCCCACCCTCCCCCTCAGAAATCGTGGGGGGTAGGGGTCCGATGTCGGTCGGATCCGATGTCGGTCGGATCCGATGGGGCTCCGATGTCGGTCGGATCCGAGTTCCGACTCCGATCTGGACTCCGATGTTTCGGTGAGGCTTTACTGCTCTGCCGATCTCCGCCAACTCGATTCCTCCCGATGTTTGGCTGCCGATGGCCGCCGCGTCGATTGATGTCAACGCGGCGACCGGCGGCTGCCGACGCGACTTCTCGATTCGATTGTGGGCTCTCCTGTCGCCGCTTTTTGTCCCGATCCCGCCGCCGCATGCCCACCACGGTCGGGGAGACGTAAGACTCGAGCAAGCCGGAACTCGGGTGTGCAGACGCTTTTCGACGAGCGCGCCCTGGATTCTGACGGTCCAGTTTTCGTGGGATGTCTGCAGCGGGAGGTCGCGTCAGATTTCAGGCGAGGTCTCGCCATCTTTTATGATGGCCCCGTGGGCCAACCCGAGTCCTCTGTACCCGAGTCTTGCTTCTCCCCGAACAGTGCGGGGTTGAGGCCAGGAGCACCAGGATCAGGGGCAACGTTAATGAGGGGGGGTAGGTTCAGGGGGGAACGCATCCGATCCCCCAATCCCCAATCGGTCGCCGACAAAGGGCCCATAGCCCACCCCTTCCAGGAACGCGCGCGGGCCCACCGCCGATCTGTCGGCGATGCACCGCCGATTCCAGCTCGATGCGCCCCGAGCCCGAGTCCTACGCCTCCCCGGCACAGGCCCTCCCCCTCTGGGCGCGCCCGCGAGCGCGCTCGGCCTGGCCCCCCGCCCCGCCGCGAACGCGCCACGGGGGGGGGGGGCGAGACCAAGATTGGGCAGGGCATGTCCTCCAACAGGCGAACTTTGGACGAGCAACATATCATTAGTCAGAACACACATATATATATATATACATATATCACATATATATATATATATATATATATATATATATTCTTATATATATATATATATATAGATATACAGAATCAGAAATCATAAACATCGTCCTCAGTCTATTGTTGGACTGTTTTGGGAGATTCGTCCTGTAGAGGGCCGTGCCCGACTGGAGACCAAGGAGCGCCGCTCCCTGCATGTGGGGTGGGGCTGGGGGGGGCGGCGAGCGGCCCCTCGCCTGCCGTCGGCCCGCATGAGCAAGGATGGGCGCAGCCTTCCCCGGGGGGTGCCCTCCGCCGGCGTGGCCTTCCCTGATGGTCCGCTACCGAAAATTTCCGGTAGCGCTCCGCAGAGATTGGTCGCTACCGAAATACCGAAATGTAGCGCCCAATACCGGTATCAGAGCGTTCTGAAATCCGCTATTTCAACGCCCTCAAACGAAGATCCGGTCGCTACCGAAATTCGGGGTGCGTCGAAATCGCTACCGAAAATTTCCGGTACCAGACCATCTGGGTTCGGCACGGGCCCAACCGGGGCCCCCCGACGGTGGGATGAAGCAATGTTTGGTCGGCGGGGCGAGAGCGAACCTCTGCCGCTAAGAGCCAGGCGGGCTACGCACAGCTTCGATTCGGGAGACAGGGCACAGGAGGGCGGGGCCTCAGGCGGCCGGAGCGGGCGGAGCCCGGGGTGCAGGCGGTGCCGAAGAGCTTGCACAGGAAAAGGTACGCCGCGGACAGGGACCGGAGGCGAAGATCCGGGCGGTAGAATGAAACACTTAGTGGACACTTCCCCGCCCCCCAAATTCGCAGTTGGCGCGCGCGGGGAAGACTGCGGTCGGAGTGCAGCGCATTCGACCCACCGCCAACAGCGATCATTTGGGGTGGGGGGGGGGGCTTTGAGAGATGAAGGCGGCATGAGCGTTCGCTAATTTATTCCGAGGCCTGGGTTGCCGCACTCGAAGAAGAAACGCCATAAACATGAGCTTTTGGCGCTCCGCGCGGATTTCTGAGATCCGCGCTGGGCCCCCCAGGCTGCGCCTCCGGCGCCGCCCCTGGCGCGCTCCGCACGCCAAGGACGGGGGTCCAGCGCGGATCCAAGAAATCCGCGCGGAGCGCCAGAAGTTTATGTTTATGGCGGTTATTCTTCTTCTACGCACGCGATGCGGTAGTAGCGTCTTGCGCGCTTGTGTGTTGGTCCCCGCTGTGGCGCCCAAGAGCGGCTCGCCAAAGGCCACTCGGACTCTTACCCAGGGCCAATCTTACCCCGGGGTCGCTCTTGCGTGCAGCCGACCACGGTCAAGCCGCACAGCAAGGATGGGCACCCTTCCCATGGGCACCCTCGCATCCTTGCCCCTTCGGCCCATCCTCAGCAACCTTCGCTGGCCAACCTCGCTCGAAAGACGCTAACATGGGCCTCCAAGACCCCTGCATTTACCAGTTTGAAACATATCCCTATCCCTATGTTTGACATCATTGTATCTGGATGCCGATTTTACGGATTCCCTCAGTTTCTGAGGGCCTATCCCGAAGATTGTCCTCGCTTTTTGCTCGCCCATCTTAGGGATAGGGACAAGTTCGAGGCTGGTTATGCATCCTCACCGCGCATCCTTATGATACGGGTTGACTGAAAGTAGGTATGTTTGGAGGCCCAATCCACTTGAAGCGCCCGCCTACTTCAAGTATCACCCTTTCCGCCCTCCCCAGTGGGCGGGCGGAACCCAATCTACTTTCACCGCCTTCCTGCCTCATGGTTCTACCTGCTTCTTCGCAGCAGCCTTTGGCTGTAGATCGGAACAGAGCTGCCGCAGCTCTCGTCGCTTGCTTCTCGCGCGTTGTCCTTCGCAGCAGCTCCGACGAGTAGCACCCAAGAACACGCGGACGACCGCACGACCACTCAAGCACCTGACCAAGAAACCAGCAGCAGCGACGACGCAGAGAGCAACGCGCCCCAACAAGACACGACCGACCGACACAGCGAGAGCAACGACAACAACAATGACGAGGACGCGATGGAGCCGTGGGTCGACTACATCCAGCGAGCCACGCGGCGCGCAGAACAGCTCATGCAGCACCACCACATCGAAAACTGGGAGACGATTCACAGACAGTGGTCGTGGCGCATGGCATCCAAGGTAGCCAAACACGAGCCCACCAGATGGACGTGGCGTGCACTGCACTGGCAACCAGGAGAGAACTCACGGCAACGTGGCCGGAGACACCACGGCGGCCAGCGCAAGCGCTGGGACGACGACCTCATCAGCTTCCTTCGAGAACACCGACCCGACCTGCACCCAGCGCCCACGCCAACCAACGAGCAGGGCAAGCCGAACGACCTCACTTGGGTTCGCTCAGCTCTAGACACCACCACGTGGTCGACACTCGAACACAAATACATCAGCACGTCGCCGACATTCACAACCAGGACTTCCTCCTCCTCTCCTCCTCCGTCATAACTTTTTGTGTGTTGCACAGAATCATTTATTGTGTGTCTCGCAGTTCCTGTGCATGTCTCTATGTTTACAGGAGGCCATGGCCTCACCCACCTGGTCTGAGCAGGCCCGGACAGCTGTCCGATGTGGTGGTTCGTTCGTTCGTTCGTTCGCCGGTCCTTTTCGAAGGGCCGGCGTGCCAAGCACGCTGGCCGCCCGTCTCCGGGTCGCCCTCCCGGGCGTGAGCAGCTCGTGCTCTGTTCTGTGCTCTTCCGACCGATGGGGGCAGTCAGAGCCTGTAGGCGCGGACCCTGGTGGTCTCGGAAGGGGCCCGAGGTCCCCCGAGGGGCCCTCCGCAGGGTCTCTCGCCCGTGCGCCTCTATTCGCGCATCTCTGAGCCTTGGCATCGCTCGGACGTGTGCATTTTTTTCCTCGGCGAGAACCATCGAGGACCATCCTGGACCATCGAGCAAAAACAACACGCGCGAAACTGTTTTCTCGGCGAGAGCCATCGAGGACCATCCTGGACCATCGAGCAAAAAAAACACGCACGAAGCCGAACAACTGCGCGGTGAACGGACGTCCGAGCGACGGCACAAGGAGCGCAGCTGAGGCTTCCCTCGGGGGGCTTTCGCTCCCTGTCCAGGGGGCTCCTCGTGGCATAACTTCGACTGGTAGGGTTATGATGCTCCAGCCTGCTGGAGCCTCGATCATCAGGAAGGATCAGCCACGCGCAGAGGGAGGTGGGGGCAGGGGGGAGGGCTTCTTAGAAGCACCCCTGCCTCTCAGAAGGCGCGGGCCTTGTCTATAGATGTAAGGCTGGCGCCTTCTAAGGAGCAGCCTGCTTCTAAGAAGCCCTCCCCCCCTCCCCCCACCCCCTTGTGCGCGCCGCCAAAAGGACTCCGAGCACCAAGAAAGTACCGAAACTGGAGGGTTCTCACGTGTCGGGCCATGGGAGGCGGCACCCGTTCGGCACCGTTTCGATGCTTTTTCTGGGTGCTCGAAAGTCCGTCTTGGATGCGGTCCTTAAGTACAATGGGAGCAACATAATTGTAGGGGAGGTCCTTCTCTCATCCCTGCGGTCACAGGGGGTGGGGGGAGGCCTTCATCTAGCGCCCCCTTCCCCCCAGGAGCCCTGGAAGTCGCCTCTTGGGACCCTCGGGGCGCTCTTGGGGCGCTGTTGGGCCCTTTTGCGGCCGTCTTGAGGGCCTCTTGAATCTTTCTTGGGGCTCTCTTGGGCCATCTTGGGGCCATATTCAGGCCTCAAAAGCGCATCGGAAGCGAGAAGGCGAGAAGGCAACGATCATTGCGTTTCCTTTGGTTTTTGAATGATTTTGGCCTCCTGGGGGAGTCTTGATGGGGGCTCCGGGAGTACTTGGAGCCGTCTTGCGGCCCTCGTTGGGCATCTTGGAAGCGTGCCAGAAGTTACCGTGAGCTTGGAAGAGGAAAGACATCGCCAGACCATCTTCTCCCAAGAGGCTGGTGGGATTGAGCCAGGCATGGTGTGGACACCGCAGCACAGCAAACGACCAACAGCGCACTTCGGAGCAGGGTGGGGGGCACCCTGTTGATGTGCTGGGGGCTGTGGCCGTGGCCATGCCTGCGGCCGCCCTCTGAGGACGACGAGCGGCGAGAGGTGGAGGCGCAGCGCAGCGTTCTCAAGGCGAGCCGGCGAGCCCCACCTCGTCTTGCTTCGATCTGGCCCCCCGCCTCGCCTGCTCCACTCCCCACACCCCCGCTCCGCCGCCGCCGCCGTGCTCGCTGCCTCCTCGTCTGGCCGCGACCTCCTCCCTCACCCATCCGTCCTGAGAGCCCCAGGCCAGTCCTGTGCCCCCGCCCGAGTTCAGACCCTGCCGGCCTGTCGCCCCGCTTCTGCCTGGCTCGCTCCTCGTGCCCGCCCCGTTGTCCGTCACAGTTCCCGAGGTGTCCGGTTGCGTTTCGTTTTCCCCGGCGGGGGGCTCTCGTTTTGTGGTGCCGGTGCTGTGCCTTTTCCCACGTGGTCCACGCCAAGTTCGGGGGAGGCAGTTTATCATTTGAGCGACGCAAAAACACGGGTCGCCTGCGCCAGCATTGGCGCGTAAGTTGCCCGCGTAAGGTCGCGCGGATGCGTCTTCGTCTCCAATGTGGCGTGCCGCGCTGGCGGCCCGCGTAAGCCGCCGCGTAAGGTCGCTACGTCATCTCGCTCATTTGAGATTCGTATCGCGAAGGGGTCCATTCCATACCATTCCTCGTGCCAGCTCCGTCCCCCTGTCCGCCCCTCTGTCCGCACGTAGCTCCTTTCCCCCCCCCATGGCTGGACCTAAACGCTGTTTTGCTGGACTTCGGCTGTGTTTTGATTTTCGTTTTGGCAGGGAGGTGCAGGAAAACAGGTAGAGCAAAAAGAAAACAAAGCTAACAAGAACGTTTAGGTCCAGCCCTGTTTCCCCCACTGCTGCTCTCCAACGCCACGTCCCCAGGGCTCGCCCAGCCTACGCGCCGAGACACCAGTTTTAAAGAGCATTCAGTACGGGGTTGAGGCCAGGAGCACAAGGATCAGGGGCAACGTTACCCCTCGGTCGTTGAAAACAGGAGGTATGTTGGGGATTACCAGTACCCAGTCTACTTAGCCGCCTTCCTGCTTCAAGAGTCGAGTGGTTTCCCTCTTCCCTCTACAGGAGGCGGGCGGAAACCCAATCTGCTTCCAATGCCTTCCTACTTCGTGGGTCTACCTACTTCTTCCGACCGATGGGTAATTCTAGACGCTTCGCGTATCCCCACCAGACAGCCTTATGCAGCTTAGGTTTTGTACGGTCGCGACAGGGTCGGGTGTGGTTTATCCTACTTGGCTCCTGGCGTTGCCAACAGGTCCACAGGTGTCTCAGGTGGCACACTTCGGATGACTGTTGGTCGTGCGTCGCATCCGCTGGCGCCGCCTTCATTGTCCCGGTGTCACTCGCCATTGGCTGCGCTCGAGCACCCTGGGTACATCTTTGGCATTGGGTGTGGTCCATCCTGCTCGGTTGCATTGCTATGTATTCACAGGTTTTGCTATGCTATGCATGTACCACGGTGCACATGATTGCTCATGGGACGCAGGTTTACCTACCTTTGGGCGGTCTTTACTTGATCTGTCGGTGTGCGACGCTTCGGCTGGCGCCTCTTCAGATTCGCGCCATTCTGACAGCGCGTGTCAGGTTTGGCTGGTTTGGTGCTTCTTGGGTGTCCCTGGTCACCTTGCAGCTCTGCCCTGGGTGCAGCTCTCCCTGGGGTCAGCCTCGCCCTCGCCGCAGTTGCTGCTTGCTGCATCCGGCGCCGCCGCGGCCGCCTAGTCGCGCGCGTTAGCCGTCGGTAATTTGTATTGCCACCAGCCCTTCGGCCAATTTGTAGCGGCCGCAGCCCGACCGTTACCCGCCGCCGCTGGCGCATCCGCCTGCGGCTGTTAAAAAAAAATCCCCACCAGCCGTAGCCCGGGACGACCCTTGACGCCGCCTGCGCCTTCGCTTGCGGCCGCGACAAAAAAGTATGCCCACCAGCCCATACAGAAACGATGCCTAGGCGAGTTGAGGTGATCAGGGAAGTGCGGGAGCAAAGAGGGGGACGGCCGAACCGTGCGAGGGAGTGAGGAGGCCGCGGCTTCAACTGACCCCCCCTTCGCATCATTCCGTCCAAGAAAAGCCGACATGTAGCCGTGCCCTGTGGGCGAGCAGCTTTCCTGCGCGCGTGGTTTTTTTTTCATTGGGCGAGCAGCTTTTCTGCGTGCGCGAGTAGCTAAAGCTTCGGCGCGTTTGAGTGTCGGGCGCGCCGGTCTGCTCTAGCGCAGCCCGTGCGAGCTTCAATCCGATTCGACTGCGGATTTGTGCGTGCGCCATCGCTCCATGATGCGTTCTGCGAACTTCAGGACATGGCGTGTTTTTGTGTTGTCGCTGTGATGATGCGCGCGCCCCGCACGGGCGCCTTCGTCTGCCCTGGCCGATTGGGTGGGCACTGCAAGATCTTGCAAGGTTTCGGGGTCTCTCGCGCTTTTCGTCGGTCCGGGTCTCTTCGCGGTTTTCGCGTTCACGGGCGTCCAGCTTGATCGCCCGTAAGATGCAGGTGGCGCGCGCCTTTCCCCCGTTCGTTTGTTGCTGTTTTTGTTGTGCGGGAAAATGACAGTCCGTTTTATTGCAATACAAGCACATGGAAATCATCAACAAAAAACCTTCCCGTTCATCCCGCGCCCTTGGACTCCCTCCCACGGCAATCACCCCCCACAAGACCAGCCCCAATTAACACTTTGATGGCGGGGGCTTATGTGACCCCGACATCGGGTTCACTCATTCGTTTCTTTGCCATGGCTCCTCCACCCTTCATCCCTCCTTGGTCCTCCCTCCTCCCTTCTCGTCCCTCCCTCCTCGTTCCTCCCTCATCCTCCCTCCTCCCTCCTCGTTCATCCCGACGTCCTCCCTCCTTTCTCGTTCCTCCCTCCTCCCTCCTCCTTCCTTCCCTCCTCGTCTATCCCTCCTCGTTTTCCCTTCCCCTCTCCACCAATATATGTTTGTTTTCCTTCCCCCCACTCCCTTCCCCTTCAATTCTCCACCATCATCCCTCTTCCCTCCTTCCTTCCTCCTCGCTCCTCCCTGCTCCCTCTTCCCTCCTTCGCCCCCCTCCTACCTCCTTCGCTCCCTTCCTCGTCATCCGAACCATGGATAATCTTCAATGCCAGACAACTCGATTGAAGGCCATTCCCAGTGCTCCCATAGCATTTTGGCCTCATGTTTGCTTCGCCTGCGCCTCGGCTGTCCCGCGGCTGTCCCGCGGCTGTCCCGCGGATGTCCCGCGGCTGTCCCGCGGCGGGCCGCGGCTTTACTGGCCCGGGCCACAGCTTTATTGCCCGACGGCCCGCTTTGCTTCGGCTGTCCCGCGGCTGTCCCGCGGCTGTCCCGCGGCTGTCACGCGGCTGTCCCGTGGCTGTCCCGCGGCTGTCCCGTGGCTGTCCCGCGGCTGTCCCGGCGCAGTCTGGCGCTGTCATATTGCATTGGAACATGTGTTTTCGGTCGCCAATCCCAGCGGCACGCGGCACTCCGTCCGGCCGCACACGGTATCATCATCATAGTTGCATTGCTGCCTGCCGACACTGCCCGTGTCACCGCCTTCATCATCATCATCATCATCATCATCATCATCATCATCATCAGCAGCAACATCACCATCACCATCAGCATCATCATCATCATCATCATCATCATCATCATCCGTCTTGGGTCCGCCTTGGGACGTTGCTGGGGCGTTATTGGGTGTTCGTGGGGCCGCATCGGGGTCAGATGGGCCCCTCTTGGCGCGCGGCAGGCCAATTTTGGAACCATGTTGGAGCTTCGCGAACCCATCGGAAACGAACAACGAGAAGGCGACACCAACTTGTTCATAGTATTGTCATTAAAGGATTTGGGCTTCCCGGGGGCCTCCTTGGGGAGCGCCGTGGCCACTTGGAGCCGCTTTGGGACGGCCGCGGGGCATCTCGGGGGCAAATTGGAAGGTATCTTGAACGACGTTGGGTGCTCATGAGTCATATTTGAGGCCATCATGGGTTTTCTCGGGCCGTCGCGGGGCCATTTTGGGCCATCTTAGGCGCTCTAGCCCATCGCGGGGGAAGAGCTTCAGACCCATGGTTTTAGGAAGAGGGCGACGCATGGGGGGGCAAAGCGATTCCCTGAGTCCATTCACGCCGATCGCTTCCAGTGAAAGTTCATGTGCGCGCCATTGTATTCACGCACGCGTTCTCGCGTGTGCGTGTTCAGTTGCGCGCGTTTTCTCGCGCGCGCATGCGTTTCCACACTGCCCTCCAATTATTGGCCATGTGTGTCTCGCCGGTTCGACCTACCGACGCCTGTTATTACTGATGTTTGTAAGAGATCACATGCCCCGGAATTTCTTACACCTGTTCAACAACCAGGGCATGCATTCAATTGCACATGCACCTGCCGTTTCACACCGAGTTATATATGCCCGGACTTGCGTGTGCATTTTGTGCCGTCTCGGCGCCCTCTTGTCGTTCGCCCTCCACGTTGCTTTCCTTTTCTGTGTTCGCCAGGTCCGTGACCGTGTCTGTTCCTGCCAAGGATGTAGTTCCTATGGATATCCCCTTCGGGGAAGATCGTCCCTGTGTCGCCGAGATGCTACCCCGTCGCTGTGCTACAGCAGTGATGCAGCTGCGCAGCCGTCCTCAGTCGTTTGGCTGCGGCTATGTCGCGGCGTCCCGCGGCGATGCCGCCCAAGAGCCCGCTTTGCTTCGGCTGCCCCGCGGCTGCCCCGCGGCTGTCCCGCGCGCCCCTTTCAGCGCAGGGGGGGGGTCGCTTCGACGAACGCAAGCCGCGGCTTCCTCACGAGGGAGGGAGGGGGAGAATGAGGAGGCTGGATGGATGGATGAGGGAGTGGGGAGAAGGAGGATGAATAGGATGAGGAGGAGGAGGAGGAGGAGGAGGAGGAGGAGGAGGAGGAGGAGGAGGAGGAGGAGGAGGAGGAGGAGGAGGAGGAGGAGGAGGAGGAGGGTAAGCAAAAGGGTCAGAGGTCTCTTGGATGCCCCTCGGAGCCTCTTGGGGTATCTCTTGGGCGCTTCTTCGTGGCCTCTTGCAACGTCTTGGGAGTCTCTTGGTGGTCCTGGGGGGCTCTTGGGCGTCTGGGGTGCCTCGGGGGGCCCTCTTGGGTCGCTTGGGGTCCTCTTGGGGCCATCTTGGGGCCATCTTGGGACCTTTTGGGGCCTCCTGGGCGCTTCTTGGGGCCATTTTGGAGGAGATCGATCAAAGAAGAGGGGAGCTCCTTTTAGCGCTGCCCCCCAAGAGGCCACAATTGGCCCAAAACCATGGTAAAACCAACGAGTGTGGCTTTCTCGCCAAGGCCGCTTTGCGCGCTCTAACGACCCGCGACCGGCCCCGTCCAGGTCCAGGGGATAGGGAGAGGGGTAAACCTTTCTCCGAAAGGGGAAGAGAGAGGGGTGGAAGAGGAAACACCCTAAACCACCTACGCCCAGTGGGCTGGTGGGATTAGGGGGTAGGCTCAGGGGGGAACGCATCGACCCCCTAAGCCGCTTGCCCCAACTGATCGCCGACAAGTTGCCCATAGCCCACCCCTCCGAGGAACGCGCAGGGGCATATCGCCGATTTGTCGGCGATGCACCGCCGATTCAAGCGCGATGCTTCTCCCGCTGAGCTGGTCTTCCCCTGACGCCACCCCCCAGAAAAGGAGAACAGAGGAGTCCCCTCGCTGCGCCGCCGCCGTCCTTCCGCTGGCGCGGAGGCAGACACCGAGAACCTGATCCGCGAGATAGACGTCCTGCGGAAGCAGGTCGCCCAGCCAGGGCGCTCGTGCTGGGGGGGGTGGGCGGGGGGGGGCCGCCCCCCGGCCCAGACCTCCAGCGGGGCCGACGGGCGAGGATGGCGAAGGGGGGGAGGGTTACGCCGTTCCCATCGTACTTGAGGTCCGCATCCCAGAGCCTGTCCGACACGCTGGCGCAGTGCCGAACAAATATCGCCTCCCAGGGCCCGACACGCGAAAACCGCCCTGTTTCGATACCCTCTTGGTGCTCGAGACTCTTCCTGGTGACCAAGGCTAAATTAGGCTGGAACATCAGAAGGGGAGGAGGAGGGAGGATGAGGAAGGAGGGCAAGATCCTGCCCACCGTGTCGGCGGGTGCCAGGCTCCTCCGCCGGTGGTGTGGGCGCTGCGTTCCAGGCAGGGGCCGCGCATGGCCGCGCTGCCTCGGGGCTGCCGCTGGGCACCGCCCTTCTCGCAAGCAGCGGCGAAACGTCCTGGCTCGCCGCCTCCTCCTCCTCCTCCTCCTCCTCCTCCTCCTCCTCCTCCTCCTCCTCGTCCTCCTCCTCCTCCTCCTCCTCCTCCTCCTCTCCCCCCTCCTCCTCCTCCTCCCTCCTCCTCCTCCTCCTCATCTCCTCCTCCTCCTCCTCCTCCTCCTCCTCCTCCTCCTCCTCCTCCTCCTCCTCCTCCTCCTCCTCCTCCTCCTCCTCCTCCTCCTCCTCCTCCTCCTAAGCAATCGCTCGCCAGCGGGTCCTCCTCCCCTTGCGCTCGGGCAGCTGGCAGGAGCTGGCGAGGGCTCGCCACTCTGCCGCCCGTGGGGGCGCCTCAGCGGCCCCCGCGCTGGGCGGGTCTGCCGGGGGGCCCCTCCGGCGAGAGGCCACCTCCTGCGCGCAGCCGCACGATCGGGCCGCCCGCGGCCCGGGCGCGCTGCGCCTCCTCTTATTTCAATGCGGTCCCGGCCCCCCCGCTGGGCCGCGCACGTGCCGCCGGCCATGATTTGCACCCCCTCCTCTTGGACGCCCCCCTCTTGGCCGCTCCCGAACGAAGGCAGTGGCGGAGCGTCCCGGCTCGCCGGCAGGTCCACCGAAGAATGCTCTTCTGACCTCTTGTGGTCGACACGAGCTGTTCCTAGAACCTTGCTGGCTGGGACTGCCTCGTTTTCGCACGTCGGCTTTTTCAGGTTCTGCGGGCGCAGCTTTTGTTATGGGAGCGTTTGGGGGTTCTAAGATTCAGTCAGGCCTGTCCCTCTACAGGGGGAATATTCAGAAATAGTAGAAACAAAACAGTCTGGGGACGATCTTGAGTATTCTTTGATCTCATTTTGGAGTCTTTGTTTGAGCATGTTTCATTCTTCGTCGAAAGGCCCCCCTGTAGGGGTACACGCCCGATTGTCGAAGGTCCCCCTGCAGGGGTACACGCCCGATTCAGTTCTAAGGACATGTCGTGGTAGGCCTGCAGGGATGCCGGGCCGGGCGGCCCCTGCGCAAAAGGTCTCCGGAGTGGCGCCGTCGTCGGCAGCGGCGGCGCGCCCTCGGCCCCTCGCCGTCGCGGCTCGTCAAGCAGTGGCGAAGCGTCGTGGCTCGCCTATAGCACCACCAAACAATGTTCTTAGAACCGTTTGTGGTCTGCACGACATGTTCTTAGAACATGTCTGGCTGTCACCGACTTGTTTTGACACATCGGGAACATGTTCTAAGAACATCGTTCTTGTTCTTAGAGCACTTTTGGGTTCTAAGAACATTTCGTGGTAGGACTATAGGAATGCCGGACGGTCGGTCCCTGCTCAAACTCGGTGGAAGGTCGGTTCCTCCGTCCCCCCAGGTTCGGCCACGCGCAGAGGGGGGTGGGGGGAGGGGGGAGGGCTTCTTAGAAACACCCCCGCTTCTCAGAAGGCGCGGGCCTTCTCTATATAGATGTAAGGCCGGCGCCTTCTAAGAAGCAGCCTCCTTCTAAGAAGCCCTACCCCCTCCCCCCACCCACTTGTCCGCGCCGCCAACAGGTGGTCGGCCACGCGCAGTCGAAATCCCTTGATAATCGTCTCCCGTAAACTCTGCACGCCCGAAATGGGTACTGAAAGAATGGGTACAATGCCCAACAGCAGCTCCTATTCATTTTGAACAGGACTCGCTGTCCGCGCCGCCGCGGCCTGTGTCCATTTGAGACAGAAGGCCACCCGCCCAACAGCGGCCGCTGTGGGTTCGGGACAACATTTGTTGTTGGGCATTGTGCCCATTGTTTCCGTGCCCATTTCGGGCGTCCAAATAAACCGAAGGCGAGAGGGGTCCAGAATGTGAACGCCCCCCGTTGCCAGGGGGGTCCGCAAGCTTGGGTTGCCGTTGAAGGGGGGGGTCAAGTTTTTTTGTTGGGGGGGGGGATCAGTGAGTGATTTCGGGTAGCGGGACGAGCGACATGGGTACGGAAAGAACAGGTACGCTGCCCAACAGCAGTCCCTGTTCATTTTGAACCAGGCTCGCGGTCCGCGCCGCCGCGGACGTGGTTCCCTGAATACATGCAGTCGCCTGCCCTTCAGCGGCCGCTGTCGGTTTTGGACAACGCTGGTTGTTGGGCACTGTGACCACTGTTCTTCGTAATTACCCATCTTGGACGTCCACAGCGTCATCATGGCCCTCCGCCGGAGTGACCTGTGGTTCGTGATAAGTCGGGCGTGCCCTTCTGCAGGAGGAATCTGCAAAAATAGCCAACGACAAACAGTATCGCGATGCTTGGTTGACTATTGTTGACTATCCTTGAGTCTTCTTGGGGTATTTTTTGTTCGCTTTTCTTCCAAAATCCGCCTGTGGGAGGACGTGCCCGACCGAAGGCTCGTGGCCCTCGGGCGAGGGGCGAGGGGGGCCAATCCCAATCCCAGCGGCCGAGGGTGAGGGGCCCTGCGGCCCGCAGGCTTCAGACTGCCGCCCAAGGGTCTGGGGCCCCTCATCCTTCCCTCCAGCAGTGGCGAGGGAATGAGGAGTAGGAGGGAGAGGTGGCGGTGTAGAAGCGTGAATCGGCCACGGTGCCAGTTGTCTGGTTGCTCGGTCTACGCGGGGTTGGTGTGGCGCGTCTGCGCAGCAGACCCCTGTTCCAGAGGACTCCCTGGTATTCGGCCTGAAGCTTGGAGACGGCGGATCCAACCAAGACTCACACACCGCCCTGAGCCAATTCGGTGCACCCCTCTTCACCAATCGATGATGGGTCGAAGGCGCAAGCCAGGTCACGCTACGCTGCTAGGCCGGGCTCTCACTCTGTCCATGCCCGCTCCCCTGCCTATATCAGTCTCGACCTCTCCGTCTCCGCAGCTTCCTGGCTGCAAGCAGGGCAGCCTCGACTTTCTCGTACGACAGGTTCGTCCTATCGACGCGGTGGCGACCCCAGCGCGGGCGCTGAAGAAGTCTTGCCCGAAGTCGGCCGACATCGAGCGCTACTGCTAACGGAGAGCCACGATCGTTACTTTGTGGAACGACCCCCGCGGTGTCAGGATTCACGGCCGACACCCGTCGCGACACGAACCTGCCTTACGTGGCGCGCGCGTCGATCCGTGGGCGTGCGCGCCGCGCACCCCCCCAACCCAAGCCGGCGGCAAACCGCGCGGATGGGGGCGCGGCGGGAGCAGCGGCGGTAGAGCGTGGGCTGCGCTCCTCGTTGGAGCCACATCCTCGAGGGCAATTCCTGGGAGGTCAGATCCTGACTCTGCCATGGGCCGAGATCCAGTTTCAGTCGGCGTCATCCCGCGTGATCCAGCTTGATGCGGCTTCATCCGGCTTGAGCCGCGCAATCCGCGGCCGAATCCAGCGCAGCAGCCCCCCCAGTGGGGCTGACTTCTGCTTAAATCCTTCCGACGAAGACCTCCCAGGAGTTGCCCTCCGAGCACATCGGGCCGCCATGTGGCGCCGCCTGGGCAGCGCAACCAGGATCGTGTTTTTGTTGGCCGCGCCGCCTCGCGCGGAAGATCTCTCCACAGTTGCAGGAGCAATACACGCACGGCCTCCTCCTCCTCCTCCTCCTCCTCCTGCTCCTCCTCCTCCTCTCCTCCTCCTCCTCCTCCTCCTCCTCCTCCTCCTCCTCCTCCTCCTCCTCCTCCTCCTCCCCCTCCTCCTCATTCTTCTCCTCCTCCTCCGAGGAAGAGGGCCCTTACCGGCCCTCGGCCCCGCTGGCCGAGTGGAGAGGCAGGAGCAAGGAAGGGGGCCAGTTGCACTTGGAGGGGGGTCGTCAATGGGGCCTCTGGAACAGAGGTGCCAGAACTTGTTTAGCTGCAGCTTCGGTATCTCGTTGCTCGGCCATGATAGTAGGCTGGATCACAGGATCACTAGTGCGCGTCTTTGGGTGCATCTGCCCCGACTGGTTGACAGCTGCCGCAGCTGCGTCGTACCCTGCAGTGCCCTCTAAGTTAGAGTAGTTGCATCGTGTTGCGCCATGTATGGTTCAGCATGTTGCAGTCGCATATCAACCCGATTACGTATGTCGTTGCCTTAACCTGTTGTATGTTAAATAGTTGCCCGTCACGGACTCTGCGTCGAAGGTTTGACGCATCGCATTGTTGGTTTAAATGTAAGTCGGCCCAGAGTTTGACGATGATTTCCCATCGTGCGAAGCAGAGCTCCTTGACAGCCCATCGTTTACAGAGTGTGCCTTTATAGCCTCGAAGAGGTAACACTGTACATGCAGCACATACACGTTCTCGTGCACTCCACGCCTGGTATAACATGAACATGATGTGTCAAGACTTCTCAGCTGTTGCTCCACACCCGCCCTCAAGCTTGCTCGTAATGTGTGCTGACTGTGCGTCACACGTTACTGCCGCATTGTGTTGTTGTGATTGTGACGTGTGTTGAAGGTCGCGTGCTTGCGTAGTTCGTAGCTTCCGCGCAGGTTACTCAGAGCGAATTGGTCGCCTGCTAAGGTTCACAGACGGCGTGCATATTTAATTATTTACGCTTCGCGTATCCCCACCAGCCCATCTCACAGCAGCAACTCTCGCGAAGCATGCCGACAGTCGTGTTTTTCAGGCGTGTGTCCGCTTGGCCCCGCAGGACGAGGCGGAGGAGGAGGGAGAGAAAGCGCTCCTCGTGATTTGAGTCGTTTGGGGTTTCTCGTCCTGGTGTGAGTCGTTCGGGCCCTTCTTCCTGGTGTGAGTCGTTCGGGCTCTTCGTGGTGTGAGTCGTTCGGGCTCTTCGTCCTGGTGTGAGTCGTTCGGGCTTCTCGTGGTGTGAGTTGTTCGGGCCCCTCATCCTGGTGTGAGTCGTTCGGGCCCCTCCTCCTGGTGTGACTCGTTCGGGCTCCTCGTGGTGTGAGTCGTTCGGGGCCCGCGTCGTGGTGTGAGTCGTTCGGGCGCCTCGTCCTGGTGTGAGGTTCGGGCCCCTCCTTGTGGTGTGAGTCGTTCGGGCTCTTCGTGGTGTGAGTCGTTCGGGCCCCTCGTCCTGGTGTGAGTCGTTCGGGCTCCTCGTGTGGCCTCTTGGGGGCCTCTTGGAGCCTCTTGGGCCTCTTGGGGGCCTCTTGGGGGCCTCTTGGGGGCCTCTTGGGGCCTCTTGGGGCCTCTTGGGGGCATCTTGGGGGCCTCTTGGGGGCCTCTTGGGGCCTCTTGGGGGCCTCTGGGGAACCTCTTGGAGGCCTCCTGGGAGCCTCCTGGGGGCCTCTTGGGGCCATCTTGGGGCCTCTTGCGACCTCCTCAGAAGCGCAAGTGAGAGCTGCCCCCCGAGAAGGACAAAATGAGCCCAACACCTTCGTAAAATCAATGATTTTGCTAGGAAGGACGATGAGCGCTGCCCCCTCAGAAGCCCAAAATGGGGCCAAAACCATAGTAAAATCAATGTTTTTGGCTTCAAAGACGAGTTGAGGGGCCAAGCTCCCCCCCCCTCGGGACCAGAATCCTCGTGAGGGTCGTCGTTTTTTAGCCCTCCCAGGAGTCGAAAAAGGCCCCCTTGCAACCACTCGGGGCTCCCTCTCCAGGTCCAGGGGAGGGGGTAGGGGGAGGGGTAAACCCCTCCCCGAAGGGGAAGAAGGGGGGTTGAGGACAGAGCGGGCTCTCTAAACCACTCACGCCCAAAAGGGCTGGTCGCCTGCTAAGGTTCACAGACGGCGTGCATACTTAATTGCCCGTCTGACTCTGCCAGCAGTTGTTCCCTCAAGCATATCGAAGACGCCTACGGCGAATCACCGCCGCCCCCTGCCTTTTTGGAAGCGCCTATGTGGCCGAACGATGAGGCCAGACCTGCCAAGCTATCGGACCATGCGTTCCCCGAATCGGTTTGGAAAGCCTTCGGGGAACACGTGGGCATCTTGAAGGTCATCTTGGCCGTCGGGAGGCCATTTTTACTTTATCGGGCCTTCTTGGAGGACGTCTTGGAGGGCTCTTGGGCCGTCTTGGAAGCCATCTTGAGCGTCTTGGAGGCCTCTTGGGCCGTCTTGGGGGCCTCTTGGGGTCGTCTTGGGCCTCTTGGGCGATCTTTGGGGGCGTTTGGGCCGTCTCGGGCCGTCGGAAGGCCGAACAAAAAGCAAATGCCACAATCCTTCAAACACTCATGGGGAATCACTGATTTTGGCCTTTTCGGGCCGTCCCGGAGGCCCTCTTGGAGGCCTCTTGGGCCGTCTTGGGCCATCTTAGGGCCATTTTCGGCCGTCTTGGTGGGCTCCTGGCCCGTCTGAAGCCGTTTGGGGGCCTCTCTGGGCCGACTTGGGGCTATCTTGGAATGCTCCAGGGCCGTCTTGGAGGCCATCTTGGGCGTCTTAAAACCATCCTGGGCCGTACCGTCGGAAGGCCGAAAAGAAGCAAATGTCAACATCCTTCAAAAACCTTAGGCAAATCAGTGCTTTTGGCCTTTTCCGGCTCCTGGAGGCCCTCTTGGAGGCCTCTTGGGCCGTCCTTGGGCCAGTTTCGAGCCAATTTCGGTCATCTTGGTGGGTTCCGAGCCCGTCTGACGCCGTCGGGAGCCGTCTTGGGGGCCTCTCTGAACCGACTTGGGGTCCTTTTGGGGCGCTTCGGGCCCGTCTTGGAGGCTATCTTGGGCGTCTTGGAGGTCTCTTGGGCCGTCTTGGGGCCCTCTTGGGACCGTCTTGGAGGCCTCTTGGACCGTCCTGGGGCCCTCGTGGAGCCCTCTTGGGCCATCTTGGGGCGATCTTGGGGGCCTCTTGGGCCGTCTTGGGTCGTCGGAAAGCCGAAAAGGTGCACACACGAAAAACCCTGAAACACCGAAGGAAAATCAATATGTTTAGCCTCTTCGGGCCCTCCGGGAGGACCTCTCAGAAGCCTCTTGGGCCGTTTTGGAGGCCTCTTGGGCACCACTTGGCCCGTCTTGGGCCGTCGTGGAGGTTTCTCGGGCGGACTTGGAGGCATCTCATCCTCTCTTGGGCGGACTTGGAGGCCATCTTGGATGCCATCTTGGGCCAACATGGCCATCTTGGGGGCCATCTGGAGCCGTTTTGGAGGAAACATTCGGTGAATTGAGCTCCGTTGCAATCCTCCCATGACCCTGGCTGGACGCGCCGGAGCCCCAGGGGAAGTTCTTTTGGAAAATCAAAAGCCAAAACCGAGAGGGTTTAGCATGCCAGGGGGCGGCGGATCTAGCTGCCTGCGGCAAGTCCCGCCACCGTGGCAGCCCAGCATTCTGAATAGCGACTGTTCGAGGGGGCACGGGAGGCCGTCATGTGTGCAATGTTGTGCCTCCAGGCTTGGAAGAGCCGTGATTCGGATGACGACGTCGTTGTCGTCGTCGTTGTCGTCGTCGAAGTCGTCGGAGACGTCGTCGGTGTCGTCGTAGTCGGTGTCGGTGGCGTCGTCGTAGTCGTCATTGTCGCTGTCGTCGTCGGCGTCGGTGTCGTTGCAAAGTGCCATTTGGTACCCGCCCTTACGGTCTTAAGAGGTCGTGCGACCAAGTTGTGGGTGGGAGGGTGGGATTTTTGCACGAGCAGTGTACAGCACAGCTTCAAGTTGAGCAAGTGATTGACTCTCTTTTCTAAGAAGAGAATAGACTCTACCCCCCTGCCCCCCGGCGTTATCGGCCCCCCTTCCGGGTATATAAATCATGTATGATTATGACCACATGTCCATCTTAAATATGAATTTTCACTATCCCAGGGGGGCCAGTATCGCTCCCCCTGAGGTTCCTTTGTTTAAAAGACCATACGCGGATACATTTTTGTTCTAACATAAGACTTGTTCACGAATCCCTTGCAAAAAAATTGACGAAGTGCAGACGCGCGCGTCGTCGCGCGCGTATGCCGAAATCCTTCAAAAACCTTCGGTGTCGGAAGGATTCCGCAATCGTCTCCAAAAAACATACAAAAACAGAGGGTTTCACAACACTGATTTGCTAAAGCTTACGCGCCAGCTCTTGCGAAATCTTATGAAAACCACCGGTTTTTCAAGATTTTCACAACATACTATCAAACGGACTTCCCGCGCGCGCATGTCGAAATCTATCGAACGCCCTTGCGCGTGTGCCGTCGCGAGAATCCTCTGCAAAAAAATGGGACGAAGTGCAGACGCGCGCGTCGTCGCGCGCGTATGCCGAAATCCTTCAAAACCCATCGATTTCGTAAGGAATTCAAAATCGTGCGTCCAACAAACTTACAAAAACACAAGGTTTCGCAAAACGGATTTTCAACAAAAGCGTGCGCGCGCGCTCTTGCGTCGTCATCGTCGTCATGGTCGCCGTCCTCCCTCCTCCCGCGTCGTCGTCGTCGTCGCCTACGTCGTCCTCTGTCTTTCCTCGTGTTCGTCATCGTCGTCCTCTTTGGCGTCGTGGTCGTTTCCGTTGTCGTTGTCGCCGTGGTCGTCCTTCCTCCTCCCTCGTCGTCGTCGTCGTCCGTCGTCGGCGTCTCGTCGTCGTTCCTCCTATTTCGTCGCCGCCGTCGTCGTCGTCGTCGCTGTTGTCGTCGTCGTCTTCCCTCCTCCCTCGTCGTTGTCGTCGTCGGCAAACCCGTCCTCCCTCCTCCTTCGTCGTTCGCGTCGTCGCCGTCCTCCCTCCTCCCTCGTCGTTGTCGTCGTTGTCGCCGTCGTCGTCCTCCCTCCTCCCTCGTCGTCGTCGTCGTCTTCGTTGGCGGCGTCGTTGTCGTCGTCGTCGTCGTTGTCTTCGTCGGCGTCGGCGTCGTCGTCGTCGTCGTCGGCGTTGTCATCGTCGTCGTCGTCGGCTTTGTCATCGTCGTCGTCGGCGTCGTCGTCGTCGTCGTCGTCGGCGTTGTTATCGTCGTCGTCGTCGGCGTTGTCATCGTCGGCGTCGGCGTCGTCGTCGTCGTCGTTGTCATCGTCGAAGTCGTTGGAGACGTCGTCGGTGTCGTCGTAGTCGGTGTCGGCGGTGCCGTCGTCGTCGTTGTCGCTGTCGTCGTCGGCGTCGCTGTTGTTGCCAAGTGCCATGTGGTACCCACCGTCACGGTCTTAAGAGATTTTGCAAACCAAGTTGCGGGTGGGTGGGTGGGATGTTTGCACGAGCAGTGGAGAGGACAGCTTCAAGACGGTCAAAGTGGATTTCACCTTATAGATTGCACCGCGTGAAGTCCTGGCAACATACTGCGTGAGGCCCGCGCCGACCTGCACTATATTCCGAAAACCCTACTGCGCATACGTTGGCATTCTTCCACGCGTCAACGTTCCACGGGGCACGGTGGCAGATCGCAAGGGGCTCCGGGGCAGCACCGCCAATCCATTGTCGTAGAGCACCCGAAGCACGGCAAACACGCAGTCATCCCCTGAGACGGGGAGCACGTGCACGAGCACGGGTCACACGCACACGCTTTCACATGACAAACGGGTGTCGTCCTTGTGGCCGCCCTCGTCCCTCAACATCGGTTGTTTTGTTGCCCAAAGGGGTTGAACCCTTGTCGTGTGATGCAGCACGAGTTCCTCAGGAGCAATCAGACGCCCGCCGTGGCCAAGTGGGCTGCAACACCAACGGGAAACGCAGCCACCCCGAGGCGACCCGAGCGACCCCATGGGGGGCATCCCCATGTATATGTGCCCGGCCGCGGACGCTGACGTTACGAAGGACGAACCGATACAGGAGAAGATACGACGCTTGCAAAGGACGCTGGGAGGAGCGTTTAATGGAGTCTGGGTCGCATGGGTGAAGAGGGCTGCCGTGAGGCAGGGAACCATCGGGGCTGAAAAGCATGACCCCAAGCGGAACACCGTGCAGCTGTGCAGCGAATTCCTTCAGGCATGGGGCAGCGCAGGGTATGACGCATACAAGATGAACAGAGACCTAGAGCTCAACGTCGATTGGCCAACGGTCAAGGACAGGCATACCAAGCTCCTGCAACGCGAGCCCAGACCCCACACGCAGCGCGGGCCCGACAGCAGCAGCGGCCCCGCCCCTTGGACTAAAGAGGGCAAAAGAGCGACGGAGGCGGCCTCGCAGGAGCAACGGACGGGTGCATCTGGCTCCGCCAACCCCTGGCAGGGATGGCAGGAATGGGTTTCCTGGAGCCACCAGGGCGCACCGTGGACAGATACTGACTGGAAAGCGAAAGGCAAACGTTACTCCCCCAAGGGAGACGACCGATACACCGACAAGCGCGCACGATGGTGGGACTGACTTGACTAGTGTGCCAAGGGCTCGCAGGGACGGGCCCTCTCGACGGAGTGCCCCCTGCTCCCCCAGCTCGGCGGCGGCGACACCCCCTCAGGCGCTCGCCGCGCTCTCCCCGCGTGGGACGGTTTCACCTTGCAGCGCCCGGCCTTGGCCGCAATACCCTGGGCAACTCCCGCTGGGGCGGGGGTGTCCCAACATCTCACCCAAGGCGCTGCATAGCTAGACAGCCCACTGGATAAGTGGATTTTGCCTGGCCGCTTCACCCCCCCTCGGCAGATGGGGGTGAGCCTGCAGGCCCCACCGGCCCAATGCCAACAGCTGCCCTCTACGGCGGCTGACTGCTCCGTTGGGGACTGGGGACGGCCGCAGACGCGTCTCCGCGCCCACACCCTTTGCTGTCTCTCTCGACAGCCACTTTGGTTGGCCGGGGGAGGTTGACTGGAATAGTCCCCCCCTGCGCACCACTCTGATTGGCGGCAGTCTGTGCCCAGCGCACACAGCCCCTCCCTCGTCCTCGGCTCTGTGCGAGCCGCTTCCATGACATGTTACATTGCGGCTGTTGGCTGCACCCCCCCTCCAACCGACACATGTGTTCATTGCGGTTGTTGGCTGCACCCCCCCCCTCCAGCGTGGTCAGATTCAGCCCTGGCTGCGTTCCAGCGCTCCATGAGCTGGCCGCGGCAGCTGCGAATCTCGGCGACAATCGTGACCGTTACCTGCGAGGTTGCAGTGTACTGGCCCTTGGGCCAGCGTGTCCTCTCTCATCGTTGCAGCCCCGGCCAGTCAGTCACTGGTTTCGGATACGATGAACGACGCACCGGGCCACCCCCGGGCAGCGGCGCGGTCCTTGGAGCGCGTGCTCTGTAGGTTTCTGCCGTTCCTCTGCCCACTTGGTGGTCAGATTCAGCCCTGACTGCGTCAGCGCCTATGAGCTGGTCGCGGCTGCAGCGTACCTCTGCGACATTCGTGGCCGATGCCCGCTAGGCGGCAGTGTACCGGCTCTTGGGCTTGCGTGTCCTCTTTCATCGTTGCTTCTGTGGCCTGTCACTGGTTTCGGAGACGATGACTGACACACCGGCCCCCCCCCGGGCAGCGGTGTGGATCGTGGAGCGAGTGCTCTGTAGGTCCCTGCCGTTCCTCTGCCCCTGTCTCCGCCGACCCCGCGTACGGCGGTGGCACGGACTTCGCGCTGAGTGGTTCAGCCTTCTGCGTTGTCGTCTCGGCTCTCCCAGCCCGCTTTCGGCTAGGAGTGCTGCCCGGAGTTTGGCGCCGACAGGGCGACCTTCTCCGTTGCACTCGCACTGCTGTTTGCTCACTTCGGTGTTGCTGGCGCCTATGTGCGTTTGCCTTAATGCGGAGCATTTTGCTCAGTGCATGTGCACACCACGCATCGCGTGTAATTTGCCGTGTTCCGTTGCCCCGGGCATCGCTGTTGCCGCCAAACCGTTGTCGCGCGGCCGCCGACCAAAAAATATCACCACCCGCCCGTCAAGGAACGGTGCCCAGTGGACCAAAGGGTGCAGCAACCGTCGTAGTTAAGATCGGGATCAGCCTGACAAGACACACAAGTCAAAGTTATATGCTTTGTCGCATCTTTCGATATGCGAATTTCTCGGCGGCCTCTTTGGGGATTTTCTTGCCCTCGTGGGGCAGTGTTGGAGGCCGTCGGGGCCCGATTGGGGTCCTGAAGGGATACTCTTGTGAGCCTTTTTGGGCCACCTTGAAAGACGTTGATCCAAGAAGGGAGTTTCCCTCAACAGCCCCGCCCCCCTGGAGCCCATCACATCGCCTCCTGGGACCCCTTTGGACAGTTCTGGGGCGTTCCTGCGGGCGTCTCGGGAGAGGCATTGGGCCCATGTTGGGGCTGCGTTGGGCCATCTTGGAGCCATATGCGCCCTCAAGAGCCCTTGTTTCAGTGAAGCGGCGATGAGGCAAAGATCAGAGGTTTCCCTTACATGTTGGAAGCATGTTGGTCTTTTGGGGGCATCATTGGCCAGTCGGGGTCATCTTGGAGCCGTCTTGGAACCCAGTGGAGGCAGTCTCCAGCCATCCAGGGACGTCTTGAGCCATCTTGGTGGCCACCTTGGGCTCTCCGAGGCCGTCCCAGTGCCGCGTCGGGCCAAACACCTGCCAAGAATGCCCCCGAGATGCCAACGGCTTTGAAAAAGCCAATTGTTGTTCAATTGATTTGGCTCATGGCGCAGTGGGGTATCCCAACAGCGTCTTCTCTCTGGAGCGTCTTAGAGCCCTCTTGGGTTAGGGGGCGCTCTTGGGGCCATCGTTGGGCCTTTCTGGGCCTTTCGGGCTCTAAGGCAGAACTTATACCCCTTAGGTGTTGTTCGAATTGGGGCCTCTCCGGGCGTCCTCGGGAGGATCCTTGGCCACTTGGAGCCGTCATGGAGCGGTCTAGGGGCGTCGTAGAGCTAGCTTGAGCTATCATGTGGCATCTTGGAGCTCGTCTTGGTTTTGATGGGGCCATCTTGGAACCATCTTGGTCGCTCTATCCCTTCGCGGTCCCCCATGTCCAGATCCAGAGGAGAGGTTGGGGAGAGGCATAAACCCTTCCTCGACGGGGAGGAAAGGGGGTTGGAAGAGGAAATGCGTTGGAAAATCAGCCCTAAAGGGCTGGTGGGATTAGCGGAGGGTTGTTGGTCAGGGAGGAGAGCGAGATGCGTTGATCCACGGTTTGCGACGTCTCCGAGGGCTCTTCGATCGGGGCCATCCCGAGTCCAGTCGATCGCAGTCCCATCCGTCTCTCTTCCTGCCTGGGCTGCTTCCATGGTCCATTGCAAATGCTGGAGGATTAACGTCGGCTACAGTCAAAAAAACCCTAGTAAGGACGCGCGACTTTGCTCAGGGTACCATTGCGTCCTTGCTCTTCCTTGCTCTTGCGGCTCGTCCTTGGCCTCTTTCGCTTGCCCGCTTACAGGGTTTTCGTCGTCCGCAGCCCCAAGAATCCCAACTTCGGCTTCCAAGGCTCTTGCGTCCTTGCCGCGCGTCCTTACCAGGGCTTTTGACTTTAACACACGCTCAGGCAGGATCCTTCCGACCAGTCCTGAATGGGGCGGGTGGTTGTGGGGCGACGAGATCTATGCATATCCACTGCTCCTGGCCAGGCCCATCCTGGGCCCAGGAGCGGTGGATAATGCCTCCATGGCCAAGCCAGGAGGGCGTATGCACAGCTCTTGGGCCCAGGATTGGCCTGGCCGGGAGCAGTGGATACGTATGCATAGATATCGTCGCCCTATGTGGCAGCCCGCCCCCAGAGGGCAGGGCCAGCGAGAGGGAGCGCGGACGGCACCCGGGCTGGCCGCCAGCGCGGGGGTGGGTCGAGGGCAGCAGGAGCGCGGCCCCGAAGGGGCCCCTCAGCAGCCTCTGATGAGCTCCTCCTCCTCCTCCCTCCTCCCCTCCTCCTCCTCCTCCTCCTCCTCCTCCTCCTCCTCCTCCTCCTCCTCCTCCTCCTCCTCCCATCCTCCTCCTCCTCCTCCCTCCTCCTTCCTCCTCCTCTCCTCCTCCTCCCTCCTCCTCCTCCTCCTTTCCTCCTCCTCCTCCTCCTCCTCCTCCTTTCCTCCTCCTCCTCCTCCTCCTCCTCCCTTTCCTCCTCCTCCTCCTCCTCCTCCTCCTCCTCCTCCTCTGCCTCCTCCTCTGCCTCCTCCTCCCCCCCCCCTCCCCCATTCCTCTCCACCTCCTTTGCCTCCCCTCCTCCCTCCCAAAAGGTGAACGACACGCGCACGTCTCGTCACCCCACGCTCCCTTTCCTCCTCCTCCTCCTCCTCCTCCTCCTCCTCCTCCTCCTCCTCCCTTTCCTCCTCCTCCTCATCATCATCATCATCCTGTCTCCTCCTCCTCCTCCTTTCCTCCTCCTCCTCCTCCTCCTCCCTTTCCTCCTCCTCCTCCTCCTCCTCCTCCTCCTCCTCCTCCTCCTCTGCCTCCTCCTCTGCCTCCTCCTCTGCCTCCTCCTCCCCCATTCCTCTCCACCTCCTTTGCCTCCCCTCCTCCCTCCCAAAAGGTGAAAGACACGCGCACGTCTCGTCACCCCACGCTCACCGTTCCCCGTGAAACGAGCACCCGACCCAGCGGCGCGAGTCGGCGAAACGTTCTTCCCCTGCCAGGCCACGGGCTGACATCGCCGCCGCCCTGCACCTGGGGCGGCCACCTGCCTCGGCGGCCGCTGGCGCCTGGGGTGGGCCCGTCGCTGTCAGGCGGATTTGCGGCAGAAGAGGATTTCACGGCCCCACCCATGCTTCTCTTGCGTTCTGGGTGTTTCGTGATTGTTCAGCTGGTTACGTTGCATCTTCGTGGGACCTCGCCTGTCCCCCGAAATTGGTGTCTTTCCTTGTGCCCGACGCCAGGTCGATGCGGACGCGACGCGGACCTGGCGTGGATTCGACGCGGATTCGACAAGGATTCGACGAGTTCGCCAAGGATTCGATACCGATTCGACGCGGACAGGGCCGAGAGGGGACAGACAAGGTCAGCCGTGGATGCATCAGAACTTCTTGATTGTTCAATTGAGGACTCTCGGCCAGCTTCGCACCGCCGACCCCGTGGGCGTCCAAGGTGCCTCTCTTCTGCGGGACGTTGTCGTGGCAGCGCGGCGCCGCGCGTCCATTTGGGAAGCCCAAGTGCCTTGTTGGGTCGTTTGGGGGCCCTCTTGGAGGCCTTGCTCGGATAAACGCCATAAACATAAACTTTGGCGCTCCGCGCGGATTTCTTGGATCGGGGGGGCTCCGCCTATAGAGCCCTGTGGGGGCATGTCGACGGTCTGGTAGGCCATCGTGTGAGGGAGGGCCCCCAGGGCACCTTCGAGTGTCCCCTCTTGGGTTCCTCAGAGGGGTGTCTTGGGAAGGTTTGGGCCTTTTCGTCCATCTTGGGGCCCTCTTGGACAGTTTTGGGAGCGATCCTGAGGCCTCTTTGGGCTGTGTTAGACATTCTGAAGTCCGAAAAGACGAATATCTCTGACATGACAAACACGATGTAGAACGTCTATGATTGTTGTCTGGGAGCCTCTTTGGGGCCTGTCGTCTTGAGGCCTGCGTGGGCCGTCTCGGGGCACTGGGCCTTCTCGGAGCTCCCTTGGGTCGTCTTGGAATCATCTGGTGGAATTTGAACGCGTCTGGGAGCATTTCTGGGCCAGATGAATCCGTCGGCACCCGTGGGGGGACCGAGGGGGACCCACAGGCCCTCCAATTCGACTGGACCAGGCTCCCATCGGAAGGGTTTTGGGAGGGGCAGTGGTTTCACACGCCGAGGAGCCCCCGAGGGTTCGGAGAAATTGGGCATCTTGGGCGGGCCCCAGAATCTCCAGGACGGCCCAAGCGAGCCCTGCCCCTGCCCCTGGGACCATCTTAGGGCATGCTGGGTACGCGGATTCCGAGCCACACCCCTGCTGGCCCTGGGCGAGTTACGCGGGGGGTCCCGGGAGCAAACAGGAGTGCGAAGATAGCCGCGAGTCGGCGGCCTGGGGTCTTGCAAGAGTGATTACAATGTTCGAAACCTCGGATTATAGAGTGGGGGCAATCTTTTGGGTGCCTGCGACATCATGGCGCCGGCGGAGAGTTGACGATCGCACTTTATGATCGCATATTGTGCAGGCCTTACTGCCGGTGCCGCTGGCCCAGAGGGCGACGACGACCACGACCACGACGAGGACCACGACGACGACGACAACGACGAAAGGATGACCCTGCCACAGGCTCGGGACATGGGGCGGGCGGTGGAGGGAGGAGGAGTTGGAGGAGGAGGAGGAGGAGGAGGAGGAGGAGGAGGAGAAGGAGGATGAGGAGGAGGAGAGGAGGAGAGGAGGAGGAGAGGAGGAAGAGGAAGAAGAAGGATGGGAGGAGGGAGGAGGAGGGGAGGAGGAGGAGGAGAAGGAGGAGAGGAGGAGGGAGGAGGAGGAGGAGAAGAAGAAGAGGAGGAGAGGAGGAGAACGCTACGTCTGTCTCCTCGGGGGCGGGCCAGGGCTGGGGCCGGGCCGGACCGGGGCCAGGGTCGGGACTGGGGGTGCCGGGGCCGAGGGGCGGGAGGGTCAGGGGGCCACCCCCTGTCCTGTCCTCCTCCTCCTCCTTCCTCCTCCTCCTCTCCTCCTCCTCCTCCTACCTCCTCCTCCTCCTCCTCCTCCTCCTCCTCCTCCTCCAGTTGGCATTTTGGCTCACGCGCCGCCGCCGCTGGGTCGCCCCGCCGACCCGCCGCCTCGCCGATGCCGCCGACGACCGACGCCCGCTCCGCGAAGGCGACGCTGGACGCTGCGCGCGGCGCAGTGCTGGCGACGCACGCGGCGGCTGGGCTTGCGAGCGGCCAGCGGGAGGCGGTACGCCTCATCCGCGCCGCCGAAGGCCTGCTGCGCACGGCGGTGGCTGTGCTCGCCACGCCCTCCTCCCCCGCGCTCGTCGCGGCGCCCCTGGCGGATCCAGCGGCTTCCTCGCGCAGGAGGCGGCGGCCCCGCGGCCGCGGCGGCTCGAAGGGCGGGGACGAGAACGGCAAGCACTACATCGTCGCTGACGGCATGGACATCGACAAGGGGTCGGCGGGCGAGGTGGCCACGGGGGCTGGCGCCCCGCCTCAGCCGATGCTGGAGGACGACGCTTGGGCCGACGAGCTGCCCGCGGTGATGCAGGCTCGTGGCCCGCCTGCCAGCACAGACCAGCGCGAGGGCAAGGGCAAGAACGCGGGCAAGGGCGGCGAGAGCGGCGGCAAGGGCAAGCTTGGCCACCTCGAGGTGTGGCAGCTGAGGAACCTCGTCGTCCGCCTGCGGGAGCGCGCTGGGCTGCCTCCCGCTCCCGAGACGGCCCCCTCCGACCACGGCGTGCTGGTCGCAATGGCCGTCGAGCTCGAGGAGTTGGCGGCCTCGTCCGACGGCGCGCGTGGCGGGGGCTCCGGAGCGGCTGGTGGCCGTCGAGCGCGTGGTGGTCCACGTGGTGATGGTCCAAGGCCCGGGGCGGCCGGCCGCGGGAGGAGCAGCGGGGGGGGGTGGTAGGCGGCCTCGCCGCTTCGCGTGCAGGGCCCTCGCCCCTTCCCCCTCCCGCGGACATGGGCGGCATTGACAAGTCCGTCCACGTGTGAGCTCGACTGCATCGAGTTCGCGGTCGGGGGGTCTGGCCCCTCAGGTGGAGACCAGGCCCCCCGCGGCGGGAGGCGGGGAACACGCGCCCTCCTGAGGCTCGGTCATCCTCCTCCTCCTCCTCCTCCTCCTCCTCCTCCTCCCCCTCCTCCTCCTCCCTCCTCCTCCTCCTCCTCCTCCTCCTCCTCCTCCTCCTCCTCCACATGTGGGGACCGGGAGGGCACTACCCCTGGGACCCTTCCGGGAGCCCACTCAGGATCCCCAGGGACGCCGCCGGGATCCCCCCCCCCCCTGGGGACCACCCCCGAATCTCGCCTTGGGATCCCCCTCCAGCTGGGAATTGGGGCAGAGGGAGGGGCTTTCCCTTCGACGTAACTGCGACAGTGTTCGATCCCCCTTGACCTCCATTACGACGACGATTCAAAGGAGGTTGGCGTACTTCAGTCTGTGTTGGGCTGGCCTCGCGTCGAAGGGCCTCTATTTTGAGTGCCTGCAACATCGTGGCGGAGAGATGACGACTGCGCATTTTGATCGCATATTTCTTTTACGGGGGACAAGTTGTTGTCCGAGGGTGACGGGAAAGCAGAGCGGATTATTTTAGGATGGGGTAGAAGTTCCAGATGGACAGCCTTGCGGGCGGGCGGGGCGCTTTGGATATGTATGTCGTTTGTTTGTCACCAGGCGTACTTTGCTCCAGTGTTTTGTTTCGCTAATTGCTGATGGACTTGAGTAGATAGGTTATAGGGCGGCAAACAGGAAAGATCCTTGAGCAGGTTGGTCTTAAGTGGGTGCCCCGGCACCCCATCCATTGCCGGGACGATCCAAGGTGTTCGCAGACTGGTTGCAGCCAGAGACACTGGCATCAACATGTTCGGGGCCTCCCTTTGGCCGAGAGATGGGATTCCTTGGACGCGCCAGTAATTCGCCCAAGCCCAGCGGCCCTCTTCACATGGGCGCCACCTCGGCGAAGCTTGGCCTTGCCGGCTCGGCGCCCACCGCTGCAGCTTGTCCTGCTGCCGAAACCTGCTGAGGTCCGCGCGGACTGCTTGCATCGGCGCTGGGCCGCCCTGGCGGCGCCGCCCTTGGCGCGCCCCGCGCGCCAGGGAGGGGGTCGATCGCCGATCCACTACAACGGCGCGAACCTTGGAGCGTTTTCGTTTGTGCCGTCTGTTCGACGGCATCCCCGTTGTCATTGCTCTTCGTGTCTGTACTGGGGTACTTCACTTTGGCTCACGTCCGCAGTGATCAAACATAACATATGTTGATAACCTCTATGTCGTCATAGACGTCGTTCATGTTCGCCATAATAACATAATCCACTAGCGGCCAATGCAGAGATTAGCACACAACCACTTGATTGCTTTCTTTCCCGTTGTCATTGCTCTTCCGCCAGCGCAGTTGCTCTGCCTGGCCGCCGACGTAAAAATGTATCTCACCATGTGTTGTCCTGCGCCCTCCTCTGCGCCTGCTGGGCGTGCCGAGGCTCGCGGGGCGAGTTCGCGCGCACTGTGGTTCGGTGCAGGATCTCACCATTTCCTGCCGGTTGGCTTCGCTGGCTGAAGCAGCCCTGAAGAGGCGCGCACCGCTTAGAAGGCGCAGCTGTTTCGTCCCGTCCAGAGCTGGCCGAGCAGTGGAGAGGTCGAGAGCATGCTCGCTCCGCATAACCATGGTGCGATGTTGTTCCGCCTGAGCCCTTCATCCCTTGAAATCGCAGGGTTGTTCGATCGGCCAATCGGGGTCTGCCCAGTGTGCCTGCTCGAAGAGGTGAACGGCACGACGGCCCGAGCACCAACCGCTAAACGAATCCTCCGCCCTCGCGCAGGAGTCTTCGGGAACTTGCGCGACGGCCTGACAAGAGTCACAGACGCTGGCGGGGCGGCAGGGGTATGTTGCATAATTGAGCGCAGGCCTTCACGACTCCGCAATCCTGGGCGGATGCCTCCGCCGGCCACGATGGACGTGTGCGATTCGATATTTGGGCAGATATCATGGCTTGTGTTCGTCGGGGTGGCAGAGATCGCCTCTGTCTTTAAGACCCCTCTTACGTAGGGGAGTTTGCACTCTGGTGGGTGTGCGTGCCGAGTGTTGGTGCCGAGTGTCGGCGCCGAGTGTCT